CTCTAACACGCATAATTTTGAAGATTTGGGCAAAAATCATCCATTTTGTGAAAAAAAATTGAAAATTTTTTGATCGAGTTTACTTCAATTTTTCGACGGAATCTCCCCTTTAAAAGCACATCTGTCCAGCAATCGATTTGGAATGCGTTCTAGGGCTCTTTAGGCATCTTTCTAGCAGATTTCAAGCGATTTCATTTTTTGGCCAAAATTGAAAAAAATGCAAGGGGTTAGCCTTACATTTTTAGTCGAAATCGGCCAAAAATTGACTTTTCTCAAAACAAGGCACAAATTCATCTGGATGCAAGAGAAACATCAATCAATACTCTAACACGCATAATTTTGAAGATTTGGGCAAAAATCATCCATTTTGTGAAAAAAAATTGAAAATTTTTTGATCGATTTTACTTCAATTTTTCGACGGAATCTCCCCTTTAAAAGCACATCTGTCCAGCAATCGATTTGGAATGCGTTCTAGGGCTCTTTAGGCATCTTTCTAGCAGATTTCAAGCGATTTCATTTTTTGGCAAAAATTGAAAAAAATGCAAGGGGTTAGCCTTACATTTTTAGTCGAAATCGGCCAAAAATTGACTTTTCTCAAAACAAGGCACAAATTCATCTGGATGCAAGAGGAACATCAATCAATACTCTAACACGCATAATTTTGAAGATTTGGGCAAAAATCATCCATTTTGTGAAAAAACATTGAAAATTTTTTGATCGATTTTACTTCAATTTTTCGACGGAATCTCCCCTTTAAAAGCACATCTGTCCAGCAATCGATTTGGAATGCGTTCTAGGGCTCTTTAGGCATCTTTCTAGCAGATTTCAAGCGATTTCATTTTTTGGCAAAAATTGAAAAAAATGCAAGGGGTTAGCCTTACATTTTTAGTCGAAATCGGCCAAACATTGACTTTTCTCAAAACAAGGCACAAATTCATCTGGATGCAAGAGGAACATCAATCAATACTCTAACACGCATAATTTTGAAGATTTGGGCAAAAATCATCCATTTTGTGAAAAACATTGAAAATTTTTTGATCGATTTTACTTCAATTTTTCGACGGAATCTCCCCTTTAATAGCACATCTGTCCAGCAATCGATTTGGAATGCGTTCTAGGGCTCTTTAGGCATCTTTCTAGCAGCTTTCAAGCGAATTCATTTTTAGGCAAAAATTGAAAAAAAATAAAAGGGGTTAGCCTTACATTTTTAGTCGAAATCGGCCAAAAATTGACTTTTCTCAAAACAAGGCACAAATTCATCTGGATGCAAGAGGAACATCAATCAACATTCTAACACGCATAATTTTGAAGATTTGGGCAAAAATCATCCATTTTGTGAAAAAAATTGAAAATTTTTTGATCGATTTTACTTCAATTTTTCGACGGATCTCCCCTTTAAAAGCACATCTGTCCAGCAATCGGTTTGGAATGCGTTCTAGGGCTCTTTAGGCATCTTTCTAGCAGATTTCAGGCGATTTCATTTTTTGCCCAAAATTGAAAAAAATGCAAGGGGTTAGCCTTACATTTTTAGTCGAAATCGGCCAAAAATTGACTTTTCTCAAAACAAGGCACAAATTCATCTGGATGCAAGAGGAACATCAATCAATACTCTAACACGCATAATTTTGAAGATTTGGGCAAAAATCATCCATTTTGTGAAAAAACATTGAAAATTTTTTGATCGATTTTACTTCAATTTTTCGACGGAATCTCCCCTTTCATAGCACATCTGTCCAGCAATCGATTTTGAATGCGTTCTAGGGCTCTTTAGGCATCTTTCTAGCAGATTTCAAGCGATTTCATTTTTTGGCAAAAATTGAAAAAAATGCAAGGGGTTAGCCTTACATTTTTAGTCGAAATCGGCCAAAAATTGACTTTTCTCAAAACAAGGCACAAATTCATCTGGATGCAAGAGGAACATCAATCAATACTCTAACACGCATAATTTTGAAGATTTGGGCAAAAATCATCCATTTTGTGAAAAAAAATTGAAAATTTTTTGATCGATTTTACTTCAATTTTTCGACGGAATCTCCCCTTTAAAAGCACATCTGTCCAGCAATCGATTTGGAATGCGTGCTAGGGCTCTTTAGGCATCTTTCTAGCAGATTTCAAGCGATTTCATTTTTTGGCAAAAATTGAAAACAATGCAAGGGGTTAGCCTTACATTTTTAGTCGAAATCGGCCAAAAATTGACTTTTCTCAAAACAAGGCACAAATTCATCTGGATGCAAGAGGAACATCAATCAATACTCTAACACGCATAATTTTGAAGATTTGGGCAAAAATCATCCATTTTGTGAAAAAAATTGAAAAATTTTTGATCGACATGAACATGAACACGTAAATTGTAATTTTCCCCGTCCCTGTTACCTTGGTACATGTACTTCGAAAATTGCTATTCAGGTAACGTTAAGAATGACTTCAAACGCTTTGTTGTACTTGTTGGGTAGGTGGTTTATCTGTCATAATCACTCTTGGAGGACGACAGCATTGAGGAGTGCATCAGAATTATACATTCATAGATGTTAGACGTTTCGGGGTCAGGAAATTAATAGTACCCAGATAAGGCCAAGAAAAAAGTCTCCGGTTTCTGGTATGCGCGCGCGTCGCCGTAGCCATGCGCGTCGGCAAAATGAAAACAGTTTTTTTTTTCAATAAAAGATGACGTCTCAAAACCGCAAAACTCACTGGTTTGACTGGAATCCTGCTGCTGCACAATTTTAACGTGTTTTTAGATGGGATTATGATTGAGAATAAGCTTTATGTGGCCTCTCTGGACTCCCATATATTTGCACTAAGTTTAGTCGGGCAATATTTGCAGTCATCAGCCGACATTTGAAGCAAAAAAAAAAACAGGTAAAAAAAAAAAAAAACGCGTCGCCGCACCACTTTTTGGGCAAGCTCCATACCAGAAACCGGAGACTTTTTTTTTGGGGGGGGGGGGCTAAATGACTACTATTTGTTTTCTGTCAAACGCTCATAGTGAAGGGCAGAACCTAGTATTCATTTACATCCCCCGACGCAAATTCCATCTTGTGAATAGTTTTATTTCAGTACCCACTGGCTGATGTACATCAGATTCGAACCAGCCAACCGATCCCGCAAGTTCGGTGGTCGAGTGGTAAGACATCTGCACTAGAAAGCAGGAGGTCGTGGGTTCGAGTCCCACCCGAGTGATTTTTTCCAACTTTCACTCGGGAGGTAACACACTGAGTATACAGTGTTTATACGTCGGTGAAGGGCCATATCTAATATTGATTTACATCAAATTCCATCTGTAAATAGCTCATAAGTGAAGTTAAATTAGTTTTTAGTTGACGAGCTGTTTCAATAAGTTGCGAAGAAAGTTATGTTTAATGCTTGTATTAACCAAGGTGATTTGAATTAGATTAATATATTAAATCATTATAATAAGATGTGAATACCGTGAATATATTGTGTACTAAAGCATCCCATGTATGGACTTCAACAAAAAATACTTCATCAAATCCTTATTTCTCATTTGAACATTTCTTGTCCTATTTCGTTTTTTATAAAAAGTGCTACATATACATGTCAATGACAGAAACACTATTCCCATAAAATAAAGACCACACCATATAGCCACTTCTAGGAAAATGAGTGATGCAGTTTTTGATTCGCAGTACATGTTAATCAATCCAAAGTTAAAAGTGCAAACCGAATTTTAAAACTATCACTGGTACACACTTCACACAATCACATTTTAAAAATCCAAAGAAGATCACAGGAACAATTCCCAAGATTTCAGGATGATGTACCAGAACAGCAGCAAAGCCCAAGCCACCATCTATTCTTATTACATGTACCACACACAGGCATGGGGCTAACTAACAATGGACCTTTATCATGCTGCAACCATTTCAGTCATGTTCCCTGTATCCAATAAAAGTACTGAATGATAATGTTTTTTGTGCAAAAAGGAACCAGACTATTTTTTCTTCAAGCCTCGCTTTGGTTACGTTGATTCGAATGGGAAAAATCAAGATGGCCGCAACATGAGAATGGTCTATAGGGACCATTAAAAAAGCTGGGGCAGGAGATACTACATGTACGAGCTGGTAAGAACCATTTTGTGAGGTTATTTCATCAAACCCATATACAGGGTGGCCCCCCAAAAACGGAATGGCATACTTCCACTACCTTAAAGAGGTTGTGGAATGCTCGGAGACATTTCCGTCATTTTTTGGGTATATGTAGCCTAAGGTGTGATGAAATAAAAACGACTATTGTTTCTGTCATGAAATGAGTACAAAGGGTACTTTTGAGAGCTATTTTTCAGGTCCTGTTTCGACCCGAACGTGCAATTTGTGTAAAAGTCGTCGTGGCGGGCAGCAAACAAAACACAGTAAATCATGACGTAATAAACAGGACTCGTTTATGCTACTCTGCATCGGGAGTCCTGTTTATTACGTCACGATTTACTGTTCTTTGTTTGCTGCCCGCAACGATGACTTTTACACAAATTGCACGTTCGGGTCGAAACAGGCATGACAGGACTTGAAAAACAGCTCTCGAAAGTACCTTTTGTACTCATTTCATGACAGAAACAATAGTCGTTTTTATTTCATCACACCTATAGGCTACATATACCCAAAAAATGACGGAAATGTCTCCGAGCATTCCACAACCTCTTTAAGACTCAAAGCACTTGTACCAATGGATGGAGAATCTTTTAAGAAGAAATATGATACCAAGATCTCCCGATTCGGTCCAGCGGTTTTTGCTGCAGAGCCTATTTTGTGAAGCATACAGCTGATCATGTGGGTATTATTACATAACAATTAATGCCTCTATCCAATGGTTTAGTAGTTCATCAGAACAAAATGACTCCCAACTTTGTTTTTACAAAAATAGGCTCTGGAACAAAAACTACTGGACCGAATCAGGCGATCTTGGTATCATTTTTTTCTTTTAACAGAATTCCCCATGCACTGGTATAGGTTGTCTGAGTCTCAGGGTAGTCGAAGTATGCCTGGTTTTTTTTTTTGCCACTCTGTATATCTTAACATTTTGATGTAAAAGGCAGATAACTCATAGTGTGCCACATGCAATAACTACGCAAACATGGTGGTGTAACGAGCAAGTATTTTCCCGGCCGCATGCATATCCCATATCTACACCATTTCTAATGGTTCCTGTTTTGCGCATGCGCCATTCATACTTTTGTGTGTACATGCACATGTACTCAAAAACAAAGAATCCCCAAGACTTGGTGTACTTCTCCGAAGGCTTGCACCAGCCTGACCCAAATTCCTAAGATCTAGGGAAAAATTCCCACAACTTGGGGGAAAAAATCCGAAAGAGTGGCCATTCTGACTTCACATCATCTTAACCTGACTGAATAATACACAAACACAACTGTTTCTTATTTTACCATTAGCTTATAAATAATGTACAAATATTTCCAAAGATTGCAAAGAGAGGGGAAGGGGGAGGGGGGGGGTGTTTGGGGGTGTGCTGACGTCAGTTGTGCGTGTTGTCCAGTTTCTCCCACGACCAGACGAGGAGTTCAGCGTCCGGTCAGCACGTCCAGCAGGTGACTGGTTTGTGTACTGACCTTCATAGGCTCGCTGGAGGTGGGTAGAAAATGGCCACCGCTCAACTGAAGCAGGTCGGGAAAGTCCATCTAGAAAGTTGGGTGGAAAATAACTTTATTGATTTATAATGACAATTATAATAATGCGGTGCTTATACAAATAAGTCTCAAAGCGCTTTACAATTATTACCCCTTTTCATCAATCTATGAGACCCTTTTTCTGCAGCAGCTCGAGATCAGCAAAATCTGGCCTCTACCCCCAAACTTGAAACTCGTAGGCTAAGAGAGGCAATTGTAGTAAAGTGTCTTGCCCAAGAACACCAGCACCATGTTCCTCGCCAGGGTTCAAACCCATGCACTGTTACATACGAGTCAGACACCATAACCACTTGACCACAGCACTCCACAATTACACTGCCAATACTGCCTTAGTATGTTGATGCTGAAATATTGCTACCCCTGATCATCAGGCCAATATCTATCACCTGAACCTCTATATGTATGACCCTCGGCACACAAAGCCCTTCCTTAATGAACCCCTCCATATTTGGCCATAAGCCCCCCCCCCCCCCCCCCCCCGCCCCATTTTGGTTTGTGTACATTTCACACATTGCTTGTGATGAAGTTGGCCAAGCAACTGTGGTCACCTAACATCACAACCTAATTGGTTAATGTGCACATTTTGACTGAGGAAGAGTCCATATAAAACGATTTGAGTGGGTAAGCTGCACAGTTGTGACCCCCTGCCTCCAGCCCGTCCCCACCCCTCCACCCCCTGCCCACCTACCAACCACCACCCCCACCCCCTACCACCCACCCATCACCCACCACCCACCCATCAGAACTGTTTACGGCAATAAGGCAAAATAACAATACTTGTGTTATACCTGTTATTGAGATGTTGTTGTTTTCAGTGGATGCTAGAGCTGATAGCTGAGTTTCATGTTGCTCTCCAGGATGTTGACCAACTCCTGGTAGCGGGGAACTTTACCAGACTCCAGCTTGGACCAAACTGGCATGTCTTTATTCAAGCAAAAAAAACAAAGGAAATGTCATGATCAGACTACAAGGTATGACTGAAGTTGAAGTGCGAACAACTCTGGTCGAACTATTGTCATGATTACGACCGTCAGAAAATGGCGATCGCACAATTATTCAACTCTTGTTGTTTCTCTTTATTTACATAATACATGTAATAATGATTGTGTATATAGTTTAGGACACTTGTACAATCACCAATATTATTTGTACAATGATGACAAAAGTGACATTTATACCGTAAACTAACACGAAAAAACTGTGCAATAAAAATGAAATTTAGCTCTCACAGTTTTCCACCATTTTTGTTGATACCGATAGTTGGTCCCCTCTGCACTATGCTATGAAAATTACTATTGACAACAAGCTATAAATCATTGCACGACCAGCTGCGGTAGATTGACTAGCGTAGTCAACCATCGTCAACTACACAGAGTTTGGGCTAACTTTAGTTGAACTATGGTTAACCATTGGTCAACAATAGTTCTTGCGCGAACTTGCCGATGATTTAGGCTGTATTTTCACAGTGAATTCTTTTAATTCTGTACTGTTTTCTGGTGACACAGAAAAAAATTAGTGAATTTTTCTCAAGAAGCTAACCCCAACTCGCACAGCATTTTTTTGTGGAGATGCGGGAACCTTACGGAATCGTTGGCCCAAAGCCAGAAAGGTACAGCAACCCTACGGCATTTCCAAGGGGCTTCAAAGTAAAATTAGCAAAGTTCTCGTGGCTCAAAAACCTTGCAGATCCTCTGGTGGAATTTGAGAGGACTGGGAGTTGAAAAAGAGCACAAAACGAAGCACCTACCGTTGAGTGAGATTTCAAAAGCACCCGTGGAGAGAAGTTGCGTTTCTATGGCGTTACTGATGAAGAACAACATCAAACAGGAATAAACCTACACACAGATAAACAAAGAGACACACAAACAAACAATAGGACGTTAGGAACTAGCAATTCAAGAAAACTGCATGGTTGAAAGAGAGAGTGCATCTGGTTCGGACAACAGTTGGTGGAACATGGTAAATCCAGTATCACAGATTTGAGCTAAATTAACCCTAACTGCATTGTTAGGATGCAACCTCAATCCTGCAAAATCCTCCAACTGCCTCCTTATAAACATTGAATACAGCCGCAATCCTCTAAAATCTTCCTTAATTTTTTTTAAATGTGGTCCCTGGAGGGAGGACCACAACCTAACTCCAGCAAAATCCTCCGGCCATCGCTGTCAGTATGTTGAGGCAGAGCCAGTGACATCCTGGAGCAGTGCGGAGGATTTCAAGTATATTCTAGGCCTAAAGGTATGCATGGCTGAGCGTTTATAAACAAAATAAGGTCCAGCCCAAGACCTTGACACAGTGCATCCTCCAAAATCAGCCAAACATTTTAGAGGTCTCTTTAGATTGGATCAAAGGCCAATAAGGATATAAAATACAAAAATATTAAAAGTGATACATGTATATATGTTGATTCTCTGAAAACTGCAAAAAGTGAGGGTAGGCCTACATGTATATTTTCTCAATATGCATTTGAAAGGTATTCTCACTATCACCACTGTTAATACTTTTTTAATTGGTTTGTTTAATTTGTGAATAATTATGTACGGAAATTGCTGATAAAAATGAGGGTACGTGGTACCAACACCATACTGCTACACAACGCAGGATCCTGTAGTTACATTATTTTTAAGGATACTACATTTGACGACCACAATACAACCTGGTTTTTAACATTCAATGAAATTTAATGCAAAAATCATAAACAATTATTGTTTCTTCTCTTTTCTGATTTTTGAAATGCAGGGCGGTCACAACCAGAACACAAACACTTTGGAAAAGATCAAATTTCTTAAAATGAACATTGTAAACTTAGTAACAAAATATGAAACCTGTTAAATAACACTGTCATTCAAAAATACAATTAAGAAAATTAAATTAAAGGCTTACTTTATTTTCGATGGCCCAAGTCCAAAATCCTGGGGTTTCTAAATTGAAGGCAGGGAAAGGATTGCTACCGCTAACGATCAGGATGATTAGTCCAATCTTCAGGATACCGAAAGCACTGGCTAAGTAACGCCGGACAGGGTGAGCTGGAAAGTTTTCTCCCTCGATACTGAGTTGCGGATACCGTGCTCGAAGCCGATGGGAGTACTCTTCGAACACTTGCCGGTAACCTCAGGAAATACTGAAATTTGTGACAAGTTTTAGCGGGATTAATTGACAGTTCATGTAGGCCCATGGTAAAGGAATTTTGAGATTCAAATCTTTACGGCAATTATGTAGTTACGGCCGACCCCTCTTTTGTTTTGGTCATGAACTTCTTTATCACTCCAAAATGACTGCTGCAAGCGTACATACATTAATTTTGATGACCTTTTCTTACAATTTTTTATTAATAGTATGGTTTTTGGGGGGTAGAAAATGCAATTTTCTTACACATTTTTCAGTTGATGACACGTTCATGCAAATCAATGTGGTTTTGTGCATTCACAATGCGTCGTGCTGGTTGCAATCTTTATATTCGTGTTGCATTGTGTCGTATTCATCATGTTCATTGTTGTTAAATACAAAAGGTACATCAACATTTCCCTCCAAAAAAATCAAAACCCTGCCTTCTATCCATGGAGGATGGAATATGTCTCCCTTGTGAGACAAATTAAATCTTACTCTTTTTTTGAAAATAAAAAATAATATTATGTAGTGCCTAGTGGCTATCGTGGCGATCGTGTAGTGTAGGGCCCCTGTTTTGTTTCAATCAAATTAGGCCGAATAAAAAAAAAAATGTTTCTCGTCCCGGTTGTTGAAAAAAAGGAGGAAGCGGGGCTTTTTATTTTTTATTTATTTTTGTTTTCAAGCTGGTCGCCATTTTAAAATTTCCTGCAACCATTAGTGTTTCCACTGTTCAAAGACACTTTTAAAATGAAAGACAAGTTGGACAAGAAAACTGAACATATCTACAGTGTCATTTAGAGTTGTATTGGTCACATTATTTCACAAGTATTTATTTTCCCATGAATTTGTAGCCTTGACCAAGGCTATCAGCTTGTTCCCATATGAGCTTGTTCCCGCTATACCGCACACCGCGCGCGCAGCGACACAATGTTGTACTATACCGTTAGCCCCAACGACCCATGCGTGTGTATTGTGTGCATGTACTTACGCCCCACACACACTTCCGCAAACAGCCGTACAGTAAGTCGAGGCGGAAGATAGCCTTGACGCAACCGTGTCTGCCGAATATGATAATTAGTACGCGCTATGGTAAATAGTCTTCTCTCATTGGATAACGGCTGACAAAAAAATGAATATTTATTGCATTGTATAATACGACCAAAGGTTTATAAACCAGACGGCCTGTGGAAACAATAATTATTGTAAAACACCCCCTTAAAATCTTAAATAATAGTAGAATAATATTTATAAAGTTACACATAGTTTGGATCGAAAATGAAATGAAAAGGATGAAAAATTAGACCTTCAAAAAAACGGCAAACGGTACAAAACCGCACGCCGTCCAAAACGATGTCACCATGCACAGAGGCCACGTTGGGGCCGTCCACTGTAGGCACCGGCCCGGCTGGCGCCATGCAGTAAGACACGCTGCGCTTTCACGTTCAGCGGCAAAAAAGCGCTCACACTATTGAGTATATCTACCGCTGACTTTTTTTTGGGGGGGGGGGGTATTTCTTCTAAGCTGTCAAGGGGATATGGGAAAAAAATATCTCTCCTTCAGCAAACTTATTCTGTAAGACTGATTTTAACTTGTATGAACAACTTATAAGTTATATGTCGTATGTACGACTAATATATCGACAGGGTACGACATATTTCGACAAGGTACGACTAATATCATCGACAGGGTACGACATATATGTAGACAGAGTATGACATATCAAACATATGACATAATGTCGACAGGTGCCGGTACGACATATATGTCGTGCATAAGTCGAGTCGACAGGGTACGATATATGTCGCATACGACAAAGTCGTATATAAGTACGACTTAATATCTCGTGTGTACAAAATATGAATTGTAACTCGTATCATGGAGCTATGCTCGTATGTTTGACTTGTTTGTCGATTATGTCGTACATACAACATATCTTGTGAGAACGACTTGTATCTCGTGCGATTTACATCTACGACTTACATGTCGTACGTATGTCGTAGGTACGACATATACGATTCATACGTACGCGTTAAAATACATGTGTCGTACGTATGAGATGTAATTTGCACATGGTACGAATTCAGGGAGAGTTTTTTTTTCACCATGTACCTGACAGTTTCGTATATTTCCATCCCAAAGTCAATAGCTCGTTTCTTGCAGTTAATTCATACGGGTGCTTATAGATACGAGTTAACCTGCATTCGATTAAATGGGTATGATTTGACCTGGGTCCGAGTTGACCTGTTCCCTACATTCGCTGTCAGAATAGCACGGGCAGGTAGCGGCGTGATAATGTACGCTGTTGCACCGACAAAACGTCGGCGGACTGTCTTGAACTGTCCAATTCGCAATACATTGGAAATAGTATCATTTTGAACAATTGTTCACTCATATAGCGGCATGTTTCATTTGTTTGTAATAAAACTGGAGAAATGGTTTAAAATGGGATTGAAATACCTGGACATACCATGGTTTGAGTGAACATACATGTACGTGGTGTATACTATAATTTGCGGGCCATGAATATGTATGTCGCGGGTCAAAGTTTACGGGCTTTGATTGGATATCGTGTAATATATGCGCATCAGAAATTTTCGGCCGATTTCGGTCGAAACTATAAAGAAACACATAAGGAATTCGCCACGGTTGCGTCAAGGCTATCTTGCGCTTCGACTTATTGTACGGCTGTTTGCGGAAGTGTGTGTGGGACGTACGTACATGCACACAAAGCACACGCAAGGGTCGTTGAGGCTAACGGTATAGTACAACTAGTGATTGTGTCGCGGGGCGCGCGGTGTGCGGTAGCGGGAACAGGCTCGTATGGGAACAAGCTGATAGCCTTGGTCAAGGCTAATGAATTTGTGGACTTTTTCAGTGTATTTTTACTGCATTTTTCAAAAATGCGTTTTTTTTTCACGGATTTTCAACCCAAAAAATATTTGTGAGTATCATTGAAGTCCCATTACTTCGTCTTTGATATGTGGAAATGCCAGTAGGTGCTTCAAAGGTATGTTTGTCAAGTATTTTGCGTGATTTTTGTGGTGAACTTTGAAATTGTCACTTTGACAATATTTCCGTTGTGGGACACTTGTACGACAGACCAACATCCCAAATGTCAAAAAAGGAGTTCTAGCGCCCAAGTTAATGGGACAGGGGTTAGAATAGCCCCATAAATGTGGCCTATTAACTGGACTGCCACCGTAAACATAGGCCACACATCCACATGTACAAAAAACGAGTCGACTTTGCCAAATTTTGATTTTCACATTTAGGCTTAGTTTGGAGGTTTTTTTGCTTTAGAAACATACTCACCCTCTATATAGGCTAATCAGAAAGTGCTGCCTTTTTCAGATGTCCATTTTTCGTGAAATTTCCAGATTCATTTGCACACGTTTGCGTATCAAAATTTCAACATGAAATTTCACAAAAATTAGACATCTGAAAAAGGCAGCACTTTCTGATTAGCCTATATAGAGGGTGAGAATGCTTCTAAAGCAAAAAAAACGTAAAAAGTAAGCCTAAATGTGAAAATCAAAATTTGGCAAAGTCGACACGTTTTTGTACATGTGGATGTGTGGCCTATGTTTACGGAGGCAGTCCAGTAAATAGGCCACATTTATGGGGCTAGGGTTAGAATACTTCTGAAATCAGTAGGCGCAGACAGAGGAAGCCTTCTGATTTCAGAAGTAGGGTTAGTATAGCCCAACTAGTGTGGCTGCGATATTGCTGCGCTTATGACATGTACAGCGCAGCAATACTAAGGCCACACAAGTGGGGCTAGGGTTAGTATATAGACCCGTGAACTTGTTGTATACAATGCCACGCGCTTCCCTCACAATTCATTATATCTTTTGATCCGCTACATATAACCTCATGTAATTTTGCCCATAGGTAAATCACTTACTTGTTAGGCTTCCTGTGAATTTACGCGAGTGTTGGATCTGTCATTGTCAAGAAATTCGAAGTAAAATACGGCACAACTTTGTCACAACGAATGTTTTCAAAATGATCAGAAAATCAAAGACAGGCATGACACTCTGGTACCCCGAGTTTCGCATGCGCAAAACGGTAGGAGTCCCACCAGTGGGTACCCGACTAACAGTCTTACATGGCAGGATGACCGTAATACCATGTAAAATTCTGCTAAATCCACTTCGAAAGTCTGCCAATCGCCCAGTATATATTGCTGTTCCATTGTGTAAGGGTTTGTTTCAGGGCTCTTTAAAAAAAACGAAGGTTTTTCAAACCAAATGTGCCCATATTTCTCTTAATCTTTTTGATTGTCCTTCATCTACATAATTCTGCCGAAAATAATTCTGCTGGATTTTCTGTATTACTCATTTTCGTATGCAAATATTCTGTCAAATGTAGCCGAAATTCGGCTAGAACGGTCACTCGATCACAGTAACCGTGGATCACAATACAATAGTCACCTTTTGCCTTACTATAGATTGAAGCGTGGCCATGGATATGTATAGCCACGTTCACGGGTCTAGGATTAGTACTACTACTACTAGGCCTACAAATGGTACTACAAAAGTGAAAGGGGACAAAAACAAAAGAAACGAACAAAGGAAAAGAAAAAACTCATGGAGAAGGAATTTGTTGATGGGGGTGGGTAGACAAAATACGACATTCGTTATCATGGTTATACGCGTAACTCACCAGTAGAGAATTTTCAGAGAAGGACCGCTAAATTGTGAAAGTTTCATCGCTGGCCGTTCATTTGGCGTGGCCTCTGTCTGTGTTAATTCCCGTAATGTGAGAAAACCTAGACATAGGAACACTAAACCGTAAATAAGTGTTCCGTTCGCCATGATTGTGGCAGGATTTGTACGCAATACGAATCCAGAATTTTCGTCAATTCATCATTAAGTCGATACCGGCGATTAAAAACCCATGTCAATATAGAGGGCTCCCTCTATAGAGGCGTGCGGCGCAAACAAGAGAGGGCGCTTATTAACCACCTTCGAGCGAATCATGACAGCCACGCACGGCACACTTGCAATTAGCGAAGTGTTTCAGGGGAAATTGTTCTTCACTTCCAGTTATGTCGGATGATGTCTATCCAGACATGCCCAATATATGATTGTTTCAGCAAGTGGAGTTCTAAAACTACTTGAAACCGTAACGTCTCAAAATCTTCGATCCCAACAGCAGAGCTCAGATGGCCGAGATTCAGCCCACTCTTTCCACATATCTAATTCCAACAATAATCCACTCGATATTGGGCTAGTAACGTCATTAGACAGGAAATATCACCTCATTATTCAAGAAATTAGGTTCGCCATCAAACCCAGTGACAGACCAACTTCCTTGACATGTACCAATATATTGTACCATCTATCTCGTAGTTTGTCTGTCTCGGTAGGGAAACCCCTTGAAGACTTGGCAACCATGCTCCTCCAACCCTCTCGATCCGTCCCCTGACCTTCTCAGGGATCGAGTCACTCAGCGTCAGACCTGTCCACTCTGAGATGTTGTCCTCCCGTGCTCTTTCTCTGCCTGCCTCTCTTTCTTCCTCCTTGCATAGTGCCTTGCATGATCGTTTTCACAAGTCTCGATGATCATGAAACGTGCCAATGCCACCTCAGTGTGCGCTTTTTCACAGTGGTCAGAGATCTTCGTAGGATCATGATTTGCCTGATTGTGGTCCGTACCTCCTCGTTGGTGATGTGATCTTTGTAGGAGATGCCAAGAATGCGGCATCTCATTTCTGTGGCTAGCTAGCCTATCGTCTTCTCTAAGTCGGCTCTTAATCCAAGTCTCACAGGCGATCGAGGAAGACAGAGATGCACCTTCTACAAAAACAATTATTGGAACACAAAGGCTCATGCCATGTCTTTATGTCTGGTAGTCCACTTGAGGCAAACAAGGGTGTATCCGAGAGTTGTTAATCAACACGATCTTAGATGGGAGAAGCAAACAAATCCGATGAAGTCTCAGAAGCACCAAGGGCTCTCAACTTCTTAGGTGTCATTTCCAACTTGATGGAAGACCACTGAAAGTGCTCCGCGCGGCACGCATAGACCTTCGTGTTGGAGGAACTGTTTCCGACATAACTATCCCAGCTATATGTTTGGGATGGATTGGCTGATATTAACTCAAGGCAGCCTGGATTTCCGAAGACTGGAGCTGTGTGTGCACAGGGCCGAAGAGCCCCGCGGTCACATAAAGCCATGGAGGATGAGGTCTACTGTTCAGTGTTTTGTGATACAAAGCAGAGAGTGTTTTATGCATCGAAAGTTGTTGAGTCAAACTACATTCATGTACTAATTTTTGACCTATACCTCACCGACTTTAAAGACTGTAACCAGGAGCATCTATGGTCATAAGCCAAATGCCAGCTCAAGGGTAAAACGTCATCTGGAGCATATTTTGTGCCCTTCATCTACAACTTGTAGTTGTACTTTAGATGAGTTACAGTATTGATTTCAAAGCATACTATCTTCTATTAGTGATTAATAACAAGATTTTATTCCAAATATATGAAGGTACAATTTACCGATGGAGTATAAACGCTAGAGAGTTTCCGAATAAAGGAAGCCAATAAATGGAGGCAAAATCATTAATATACCTGTACATGTACCATAAATTCTTGATTACTTACATACATTTTACCGAGCCTAATACCTTTAAGTTACAAAAATAAAAACCAGAAACTGAGTACAGCTATAAAACATGTAAGATGATCATTATAATGAAATAATTTGTGCAATTCAAAGGATAAGCCTTTTTCTTTAAAACGTTCATTGTTATTGTAAGGCCTATTGTAAGATGATTATTATAATGAAATGATTTGTACAATTCAAAGAATAAGCCCTTTTCTTTACAACGTTCATTGTTAATGTAAGGCCTACTGTATATAAAATAACATAAAAAATGGCAATTTAAAAAAAAGCTGCAATTAGTGATTAATAACAAGATTTTATTCCAAATATATAAAGGTACAATTTACCGTTGGAGTATAACGCTAAAGAGTTTCTGAATAGTGGATATAATAATAATAGTGGATATTAATATAAAGCGCACGTATCCACCAGGACTGGTGCTCAAGGCGCTACATCATTATTACCCCTGCTCATTGGGCACATAAAACATTCCAAATACCATCTCAGCTCCCTGGGGAGTATACAGCTCGATGCAGCCTGTTAGGCGCAAGGAAGCTAAATTCAATCACAATAACCATATCTGCCCTCACAGGTACCCATTTACTCCTGGGTGCAAAGAAGCAATGAGTGACAAAGTGCCTTGCCCAAGGGCACACGTACCATGACTCCGCGAGGACTCGAACCCACAACCTGCAGCTTTACCCGCAGACCACGAATCAGTGCCCTTAACCACGAGGCCACAGTACTCCACTGAATAAAGGAAGCCAATAAATGGAGGCCACATCATTAATATACCTGTACATGTACCATAATTTCTTGATTACTGACATATATTTTACCGAGCATAATACTTTTAAGTTACCAAAATAAAATTAGAAACTGAGTAAAGCTATAAAACATGTAAGATGATTATTATAATGAAATAATTTGTACAATTCAAAGGATAAGCCTTTTTCTTTACAACGTTCATTGTTATTGTAAGGCCTATTGTATATAAAATTGTAACATAAAAAACACGAGTTTGAAGAAAAAAAAGCTGCAAGAAATTCTTTTTAAAGGTAAATGGCACTGACGTCTTTATCTACATCTATTTTGGCGTTTGAAGTTACACATGCATCTTATTAATCTCAACTGAAGTTGTACTACTCTCGAGCTGCAATATGTACATGATTGCGGAAGACGCTTAGAGTCACACCAAGCCGAAAGAGCAGCACTGTGCCTTGAAAGTCGACATCGAGCAAGCGTGTGAGCCGCAATAGGTTAATTATATTTCGGTATTTAAAAGGTCTTAATTGTCACCATGACAACACCTTTAATATACCGAAATATAACCTATTGCGGCTCACACGCTTGCTAGATGCCCTGACTCGGCTGAAGATGGCAATGTAGCAGATGAGGATTACGGTGAAGCACAGACCGTAAACACTTACAACAACTACACAATACTGTTTGGCCAACGTTGCTTATTCAGACAGATTTTTGTTGTCTGCTATTGGCACAAGATAAGCAATGTGGGAGCATCGTGCTGGCCTCTGCACAGTTACAATTATGGTGAGGTCCTCAAGATGGGTCAGACACGTCTGACGGATGCATGATGACAGGTTCCCAAAACAAGTCCTATTCAGAGAGCTCACGACAGGAACATGTACGTACCGGACCTCATGGAAGATGTTTGAAATACATGTATGCCATCAAAGAGGATCTTAAAGCATTTGGGATCGACCAAAACTGGTCCTCCTCACAAAAGATGCAAGATGCTCAGAATCACACCAAGCTGTGAAGAGCAGATCTGCGCCGTGAAAGGCGACATCAGCGTTGTCCCCAATTGTCCACCAGGAAGGGGATGTAACGTGACCTTTTACTTTACCAAAATAAAACCAAAAACTGAGTACATGTGATTATATAGTATATAAAAGACTAGATGCAATATTATAATGTATACATTAATTTGTTGGTATTACTCTGTTTATAATTGTTAAACGTTTTGGAAATAAATCTGGCAGATTAACAAAAAAGATCCGGCAATAAGTAAATGTTGTTTTATAAACTGAATAACATGGCATCTTACTTTACAGCTATTTTGGGGTTGGAGGAAGTTATATTCTGCATCACCCCTATCATCTTTGCTATCGCCTTATAATTGGGTTTCTGAGGTCACAGTTTTCACAACAGGAACATTTGATCGGTTCTCTGAATTGGAACGAGCGTTCTTCATGGCCAGCTCATACTTCCTCCTTACAGAAGCAGCCTTCTGTTGTTGGTAGCACAGATCTGCAATGGTATAGAGGTAGGGGTTGAGAGAGGAGTTGATGGGAAGGATGAAAACGACAATCCAGGCATAGGCTTCCGTTGGTATCTCCACCACGCGGGCCTGTGACAGAATACCCATAATGATGACCGGTACCCAGCAGACAAAATCCGTCAGGATGATGGCGGCCATCTTGATGGCCAAACGCTGTTCATCGTCCCTGCTACTGCTGCTCACCTTCTTGCTCGATGCCCGGACTCGCCTGAAGATGGCAATGTAGCAGATGAGGATTACGGTGAAGCACAGAAGGTTGACCCCGAGGAACAGAGCGATGGAGAAGAACCAGGAAGCTCGGTAATCGACAGGATACGGTATCCCCACAGTGATGTTCGCCACGCCCCCAGCATCAATCTGCTGATCCACCACCTCGTATTCAGTAACTTTAGTCATCAGAGGCAACCCGATGCAAACATCAGAGAGGCCGTAAACATCAGATGAAGAGTCGGACGCAAGTATTGTCGGGACCAGTCCAATGATCATCGTACCAATCCAGACACACAATGCAGCAATCTGAGATGACTTTGGACGAAGATGGTAAGTGCTGAACGGGAAGACGATTGAAAGAAACCTGTCGATGCTGATGAGGGTGAGAAAGAACACAGAAGCCTCGGTGCCGATGATGGAAATAAACCCAGCAAACTTGCACGTAGGGCTCGTCCGCCATTCCATAGACATCGTAAAATAGCTCTTTCCGAAATACGCATCAGCACTGGCTATGATCAGCATGTACAACCCCATAAGGGCATCCGACACAGCTAGATTAAACACCAGGAAAGACTGAACGACTCGACTCTCTCTGCCCGCCGTCCTTTCCCGACATCGCCACACCATGACATAGATGTTGCCGACGAGGGCGCTAATACCAAGAATCCACATGAATACTTTGAGGACCATTTTAGGCATCAGTTCGCTGCACATGAAAAGTGGAGGCTGTGGCTCGAGCGTCTTGCACTTGGACGAGGGGAAGAAACAACACAGTCTGTGGTCATCTACATACCTGCCAGAAGACAAAAACCCAGAAAAGGTTACACAAAAACCCAAAAAAGGTTACATAGTGCAGACTGATTTAAATAATACATTCAATTGTTTCAAGGGCGGATCCAGAACACACATTTTTTTGGGGGGGGGGCCAAACAATTTTTTGGTCCCCCAGAAAAGGGGGCCAAAAAAATTACGGCGTGGGGTTCGGGGCCCGCTTAAGGGCCCCGAAAAAATTTTGGATTCTAGATGCTCTGTGGTGCGATCTGGGGCAATTTCTGACCACTTTAACCTATGTTTTTTTTAGGAAAAGATGGTGCTGTACTCATTGCCTGCCTTTATTGCGACGTCAAATAAAAAAATATGGGGTTTTTTTTTGGGGGGGGGGAGGCCATGGCGCCCTTTGTCCCCCCCCCCCTCCCCCGATACGCCCTTGAATGGTTTGGCGAGCAACTTATTATTATTATACTTACAACTCTGCCACAGTATCAAGTCCTTGAAATGCATTATCTTCTACTACAAGTGGTGGCAGGCCTTCGATGTGGCGGACAATTATCCTGAAATAAAGCATTGATGGTTGGTCAAAGTTTGCACCGAGTGAGGAATTCGTTTATTGAAGAATGAATTTATATCAGGAGAAGCATCTAGATAATTATGTATCAAACTAAAGATCTCCTATTCCATGCTTGTAGATGGACTTTGAACTTTAAGTTTTTACTTCCCCATTCAAACATGAATGCGAATGTGTGCATTGTTGTCAAGTTTGTGCTGACTGTCACTGCTGTGAATGTTAAGAGAAATAATGATCAACCAAAATTCATTGTCCTTTGTTTATTTGGTCAGATGGTGTCATTTTTGTTCATTGCTTTAGTGATAGATTGCAGTTGGAGGCCTCGACGTACAAATAATTTGTCAATATGAGAATTTTTTAGCAACAAAAGTACTCACAACGTTTTCACCTGGCTGAGACCAGAAAATGCATTGGACTTGATTCTCGTCAACGGCACATCAAAAATTGTGCTGAAAGTCAACAGAAGTATGGAAATCAACTTTAATTTGCAAAACAACACCGTCCGCTAAATAACTAATAACACTTCCCTCACAGAGGGAGCATGTAGCTCTCAGGAAAAGTTGGGGGGGTGCTTTGAGGGTTCGAGTCTCAGGCGTGGCTGCTATTGGGTCTGGGGGTGTTCCCCATGAAAATGTTTGACATCTAAGATGCGCTCTCCTGCATTCTAAGGCCAATATATAATACATTTTGAATTAAATCATTTAGCATAGCTTGCCCTTAAAATCTTGCCAATTTTTTAGGTCAATTTGCAAGCTCAGTTTAATCCTGAGTCAAAACGATGTGGGGGGGGGGGGAGGCACACCAACAGGTATGCCTTGTCAGACCGCTGCTGTTACTTACATTCCCCGTAGACTAGACAATTCCTTCATGGCAGAACCTTGCAGCTCAGTTATCAATGTGTTTGACAGGTCCCTGTAACACAACAGAGACAACATTTGAGTGATTTCAAAAGTCCACATGGAGCAACGAGAAATAACATTTACTAAATGATTCTGCAATCACCCTGAAAATCCCCCAAAATGCATTATTTTAATCATGGATATTCTTTTCTTGTATAATATTAATTTTGCCACAAATGAGTACAATGTGTGTTGAATTGTTGGAACAATCGCTCTAAGATATAAAGCCACTATTCCCTCAAAAAACACAAACCGCTTTTTCCTGTACTGCAAAATATGCTTTGAAAGGGAGGCCCACAAATAAATAATCATAATTTTGGCTCATTCCAAAGTTTTTATACCCATGCACAAAGAAAAAATCCAAAGAAAATATCAGCTCCCTGTACAGTTTGAAGCTACCATTTCAGTGCAAAGCAGCTAAAATCAATCCCAATGACCACCTCTGCCTGCAGTCACAGGTACCCATTTACTTCTGGGTAGGGAGAAGAAATGAGTGACAAAGTGTCATGCCAATGGACACACGCACTGTAACCCAGGCTGGACTCGAACCCACAACCTGCAGAATAATACGCACAGACTACGAGTTCAATGCTCCAGACCACTAGGCCACGGTGCATTCACAAAAAACTTCAGAAAAGATTTTAACTTACAGCCACAACAGGTTTTCCAGGCCGTCAAATGTGTGTTCCTGAATCTCGGTTATGCGATTGTTTTTTAATGACCTATTGATTAAAATATATATTTTTAAAAAGTTACGTAGTTATAACTAAGGTGACTACAATTAAAGGTCAGAAAGAAACATCATCAAGAATATACAAATAAAGAAGCGAGTGACTGAAAAATGGCAATCCCAAAACTGACATTAGAATAACTGAGATTATTAAAGACAAAAGTCAAAACTTATTTTGAAATTATCTTGACTTCATAACCAGAAAGAAATTGTATTATTTTATAAGCCAAAAAATCTTCAGAGCACCAAAATGCTTGCCACTACTCACAACACTTTGAGATGTGATATCGCTTTGAACACTCCCTGGTCCAGCTTACTAATGTTGACTCCGGAGAGCTGACTATGGATTGAGGAAAAATAAAATTCAAGACATTTCGCTCCGTTGGAAGTCAGATGTTTTATACAAATCTGTAACAACATACTTTCTGGGAACAGACAGTACAAACTTACCACGTTTATTGAAGCAATTTATTAAGGTAGAATGCAACATTTAACAGACATTAACTCAAGGTTTACATCGCGGTATACCTTGGGGCTTACCGCTAGGTTTACTTCAAAGTTTACCTGGATGTTTGCCTTGAGGTTTAACTCAAGGTCTACCACGAGGTCTACCTGGAGGTTTGCCTCGAGGCCAACCTCGACGTTTTATACCTCGCATTTACCTCGAGGTTTACCCTTGGAATTTGCCTAGAGGGGCTAGGTCTACCTGGAGGTTTAATACCTCTATATGTTAACCTCGAGGTTTACGTAGGCTTTATGGGTTTTCAATACGGTTTACCCTGGGGTTTAACCTCAATTAGTTACCGCATAAACTTGTGCATTCATCAGCTCTAAGCAACTAATTAGGGGTTTCAAAATGTGAACATATAAAAGAGAACACGTGAACTTAGCCTACTTCAATAATCTCGTAATCAATTTTGTTTGTTCCCCAAATTTGCCTGTTTGCTCAAAAATGTGACCTTTCCCGAATTTCCTAGTCAAGAACTATTTTGGATGATGGCAACTTACAGAGTATGTGTTATTAGTGCCAAGCCCGCTAATGTCGAGGAATCCCAGCCATTGTTGCAATGGACTACCAAGTCTGTGCCCTTGTAGCTACACTCGCAACCAGCGGGACATCGCTTCATATCTATGATCGCAAGAGTACAGAGTTTTAATCAAGTTAGTCACAAAGTACAATATCAGGTCATAATTAGTCACGTCACAAGTTGGCTCACAAGTCAGATCACAAGTCGGGTCACAAGCAAGGTCACAGGTCAGCTCAAGCAAAGTCACAAGCAAGGTCACAAGTCAGCTCACAAGTCAGCTCACAAGTCAGATCACAAGCAAGGTCACAAGTCAGGCCAAAAGTCAGGTCGCAGGTCAGGTCACAAGTCAGGTCAGAAGTCTGGGTCCCAATCGGGTAAATAAAAATCAGGTCACAAGTCAGTTCCGAAATCGGGTCACAATCGGGTATACAAGTCAGGTTAGAAGTCGGGTCACAATCGGGTACATACAAGTCATGTCACAAGTCAGTTCCAAAATCGGGTCACAATCGGGTTTACAAATCAGGTCACAAGTTGGGTCACAAGTCAGGTCACAAGTCCGGTCACGCAGGTCAAGTGAACATACCGCACTGAATTTCGTCGTCAGACTCTGGGCAGTTCTCCTCTCCGTCACAAACTTGCGCCAGTGGAATGCACTGCGCCTGAGAACGGTTGCCAGTGAAGGAAGAAGACATTGAACTGGTGTTGAGGTTGTTGCACTTGTAGGAACCTGGGCAGAAGATGTCGTCTGTTGCAAAAAAAATATGGGAGGGAATACATAATGAAATCTGAGAAGTTGAATACTCACTCGTCGATCTACGTCTTTATGACACAACGTTTTGTTTGACAATGAGGCTACAACATTACAGATGGCTCTCAGTATACGTGGAGTCAAACCGCGAGCGATGTACCTGCGTGCAGTGCTGTAGCTGGGCTCATCACAAATTCTATTACAAGTCCAGTCCCAAGTCGCGACTGGCGCTGACACTTGCCTTCTACTTTTGTGGCCCAGGTCCCAAGTCTACATGTGTATGGATTCCCCCGTATTTAAACCATTAGTCCCAGTGCTATTATATGTTACTCATTATACCGCCCCAATCCACCCCTGCACTGTATGGCTTTGATGGGTTTACCAAGGAGTAAATACAATGTAATACATGTTATAATGGGTTATCTGAGGCTTGCGAGCTACAGTGAAATTCCTCGTAGAATTTCTCTGACAGAATCCTATTTTATTTCTGTTTACAATAGCTTCTTTACCTATTTTTTGACCTATTTTCTCCTAGAAAATAGGTAAAAAATATATTGTATTCCTATTACATCAGAATAAGTAGGTACATATGCATAATTTTATCTCTATTTTTCTTGTCGCCATCCTATATTATTTTTTAATTTTTTTTAAACAGTATGCTATTTTTCGACTATTTTTTGGAGACTGAAAAATTTTCACAAGATCCACAGACTATTTTGTTTTCTATTTTGTGGGAATGAGAATACTTCATGTACATAACGTGTACGTATAACAACTCGCAACCATTGTTTGGGAAGACGCCATTTTCGGAAACAAGTTTCCTATTTAAAAAAAATAATAGCATCCAATTCTTAAAAAATAGCAACCTACTTTACCACTATCTTACCTCTATTTCTTTTAAAGCAATTTCTTTCACTATTCATTTTTTCCTATTTTTGGGGTTGACGAAATACAATGAAAAAAAAAGATTTTTAAAACACATATTTTATAGGGAAAAAAACTGTTTTTTCTTTTTTTTTATGGACCCCTCTTAAAGAACCGTTGGTTCCATTACCGGAAATAAGTAAAAAAAACTTTGAGATGACAGACCCACCGCAATTAAGTTCATCTTCGTAATTTCTGCAGTCACGGTAACCATTGCAGCGGGAAGAATTGGTGACACAAAAGCCTTTGCCGCAATGGAACTCATTAGGTTGACACAATGCTAAAAAAAACCCAAGAATCACATGAATAATAAACTTATGCTACAGCTATTTCAGATTTGCCACAATTTTGGATATTTTGCTGTCATAATTGTTTTTCTTTGCCGCTTGTTTGTTTCTATTTCAGGGACATGACATAGGCAAAGATTTTCAACAAATGTTGGGTTCACAATGTTTTATCAGAAAATCTTTAAACTGAACAGTGGCTTCCTGAAATGACATCACAGCAACAGCGCCCATATTTGTCAAGAAAAGCATGGACAATTTGAAATGTAAAAAAAAGGTGCCTTCAAATATAAAATTAAATAAATTTGATGTCGAATAGTTTTCAAAAATTCAAGAGGAGTAGAAAGTTGCACTAAGTGTGAGCCCAAATAAAATTCATGTTATGAGCACGTGCTAATGCCCATTATTGTATAATAAAATAAAACAAAATATGGACGGTTCTGTCAATTAATGCATGCAATTGCTGTCATTTAAAAGTAATATAGTTGAATACGTTGAATTTTATATATGTAGTAATTTTATTCTAATGTGAAAATGAAAACTAAGGAACATAAATCAGAGACAAAGAAGGGGTTTTGCAAAAAATTCTCACAAGACTGCACACTGAGAATGGCTGTGATACTTGGTACGGGTACAAGATTTATGATGATCGACTCACTGCAATATCTTCCACATACTGTACAAAAAGAGCGATATTGAATATGGGTCAAAGAGGTATGGTTGTGCATTATTGCAATGGAGAATCCCCAACCTCGTTCCCCGTGGGTCCGATCTTGTTGTGCCATATTGTTTCCCATCATGCCATACGCAATCAGTGAAGGAACGGAGGAACGCACACGCGCCAATGGAGTCGAGGCTGGAGAATCCCCACCAGCCTAAACACTGGCCTTGACAATGGGCACCAGACTTACCCTCCAAATCCTCTTCTTTGATATGATTTATCAGAATAGAGAACCCTCGACGTGCGATGGTTAGATCCGTCTTCATTTCCAACATGAGAACTCCGTCATCATGACGCCACGTCACCGTCCGCCTCGAGACATCCGCCCCCGTAAGACGGAAGCGCTCTTTGGGATCCTCCCCATTCCTAAGAAAAACGACATCCAAATAATCGTACGGTTCCTCCATTTCAAAATCCTTGATCCGCATGGTGACAAGTTGCTTCGATTGACCTTTGATGAGCCAGCTGCAGTTGCGGTTATTCGGGTACCCGTCTGGGTAGCGCGGTGAATTGAGGTTAATGAGATCTATGTCGACGCCGATGTTACGCGGTCCACAGTCATCTGTTTTTAAGTAACAATAAAAAATAATGGTACAGTTCAGAACTGAATGAATTCCTGAAGTACGGAGTCCGGACAGGTAGAAAGGACAGCAGTTTGGTACAAGTAGTATGGATGCAGTACTTTATCGATTGCCGAAGATCACAAGTGCAATATCACACATTTGTCGCCAGCACATCACACGCCAATTAATTCACAAGTAATTAACAGGGGATGAAAATTAATAACAAAGGAATGCCTTGAATTGTGACTATTCATTGGTATAGCTTTTAGTTGACCAGGGACTGGATGGCATCTTTTCTGTTTTACACATTTATCACAGCTGGGCCCATTTCTTGTCTCTGCTTACCGTATGCAAAAAGTCCCTGCTAACCGTAGCAGAAAATTCTGTGCTTACGGGTGCACACCGGTAAATCGATCCGCCAAGCTCATGAATAAAAGTTATACCCTCAAAATATTCTATATTAGAGAGTTCTGAGCGCCGTAAAATTGGGGAATTGAAGAGATATGGTAATGAACCTCTGGCCCGGACTTGGGGCTTCCAATTCTGAGCATTTTGGATGCTATTGGGCTCGAAAGTGGCGCTATTTTGCCATGTTGTGGAGGGATCGTTTTTCAAGATGGCTACTTTTCCGCTTATGGGAAAATAGGGGTCGTCTTCTTTGGGTGAAAATATCTCGAAAAGTCAATGGTCAACCCACCAAAAATTGAAAAGAAAACGAAAGATGACATGTTGATTATCATTTTTCTGTGCAGCTTGAATACCTGTGAGAGTTTAGAGTATTTTTAAAAGAATTTTGAAGTATGGGCATTTAGCACTAGTGTCTATGGGAGTTTATTTGCAGGTATGCACCCTTACGGTGAGCGAATTTCACGCGTTACATAGCGAGGAATTTTGGCTTCTGCACATGCGTACATCCCGTAACTAAGGATTCTTACCTACAGGGTTAGCACAAAATTGTTGTGCTAGCGCGGTTAGCACAAAATGGTGATCGTAAGCGCGGATTTCTGTGGTTAGCAGAGCCAAGAAATTGGGCCCAGATGATGCAGCATGGGCCTCTTAAAGGAATTATGGTCATTTGATTTAGTTGCGTTTTGTTCATTTCCATTAATAATAATACCACTCAAACTCAAAAGAAGAATGTCAAAACTTTACCACGTGAAGTCTCAACTCAGTGGAAATAATACTTTTGGAGAAAACAGTGAACAAAAAACATGCACAACCTTTTGATCGCGAAACACGATACCGTCAAAAGACCGTCAAAAGAACTTTCAACTGTTGAAAATCGCTTATACAGTACTTGATTTCTTCTAAATAACAGCAAGCTGTATTGAATAATTTCACGGGGTGTTACGTACCGGTGTACACGATCTTTAGTAAGCTTTTTGATAATACTTCTGTATTTTTGAGATAATGCCAATGATCCTGCATGCTCTTAACAGAAAGCAGTTGCGAAACGATTAATGAATCCATATTATATGCTTACCGCAATAAAATTCATCTGATCCATCTGGGCACAGTGCAAAGCGATCACAGGTGACGTCATGTCCCAAACAAATCAAGCCAGATGAGTTATCCTTGCATTTAAATTCATTTTGTCTGCAAGAAACTGCAGCAACAGAGCAAAGAGAAATACAAATGTTAAGTTATGCAGTAAATTCTTCAAACTTTACAAAACAGCAGCAATAACGCAGTAAGCACTATTTCACAGTGTACATTTCATTCACGTCACATTCGCAAACGTATAGTTGCGTTGCATATGCCTAAGTCTAGCTCCTACACAACAAATTGTGGTTTTGACTTTGTCTATTTGGGTAGCGGACGTTATACAGTGTACATAACAGGCTTTCAAACAGACCCGGCAGTTGAAAAAAGTAGAACAGAAGCATCAAAATTTCCAAAAAAAGGGACAAGTACTTTGGAGGATGAAATCAGGAAAAAGTGAAGGACTTCAGTAGTTTTCGTTGATACTCAATCCACCATCCACGGCATCATAAGCCTCATTTGGCATATTCTGTACTCACAACACTTGTGCTCCATCCTCAACTAAGCTCTTGGAAGTAGAACCCTTCATTATGTGATTTACATATGACAATTTGAAACACTGTTATGAAAAATACTCGATGTGATTTCATTTTTCGAAGTCATGGGACAAAAAAAGTAGGAAAAAGTAAGGAATTCAAGAAAAAGTTAGGATAAGTATAAGAAAAGGGTAAACTAGGATTATATGTCTGTTTGATGAACAGAACATAGGACTTTTCTGCATCATAATTTTTATGAGTTTATGGTTTGTTTTGTCCATTTTCAATCAGAAAACGTATATGCAAGAATATGGTTCCATGACTAAGTTCTCAAAACAATAGGACTTTAAAATATGCACCTTTAAGATGACGTCTCATGAACCACGATGACGCCATAATGACGCCACTCCAATTTTTGCCTGCAACACGTCCCTATCTATAATGTTCATACCAAATTCCAACCCAATCGCGCTTACAGTTTCAAGATATAAAATATTAAAATATACACATTTAGGATGACGTCACATGACCATTGATGATGTCATAATAAATAACATCACTTGTCTAGGGCCAACTTAACCTTAGTCTTTGTCTGTACCTAGTTTTAAGTCAATCAGCTTGCATTTTATGTCATATTTTGCTGGTAGGAAAAATGTAAAAATTAATAAAAATAATAAAAATTAGGTGATGACGTCATCATTACCACCAAGTTTTAAGATGATCGGACTTAGCATTAATATGTGATTTACGAAATAAGTTAGGTATATTGGCGGATTTAAATGGGATTAATGCCAGAATTAATTGAAAATAACATCTTATATGTCTATCTTGCCCCTCTGGTTCCAGAGATATAATAAATGCCGTTTTTCAAGATGGCTACCAGCCACCATTCTGAATGCTGAGGTCACGATGGTCCGAAATGTAATGAATACCATTTTAGCAGATTTGTCATGCCAGAAATAGTAGGAATCGACACTTCATTTATCGTTATGGCTCATCTGGTTCCCGAGATATCATTTGTTATGTATTTCAATATGGCGTCAGCGGCAATTTTGAAAAAAAATGCTATAAAAAGTTTGTCGTCACTTTTAAGAGGTGTATAGGAGCTTTTTTTCCCTTTGAATTGGTCCAATTTGTTAAATCCATCAAGAAAAAAAGGTATCCGCAACATGGTCACAGATTTCAGGAAAATGACTCTACTACATGTATAACGTTTCTTGTAAAACCAAGCCATAACTTTAATATCAGGAATGCCAGTGGTTTTGCTCTAGGGACAGAAAAAGAATAAATTAATTAATTCAAAATTAGCACAATCTCGAAGTATTTTGTGAAGTCTCGAAGTATAAACTGTTTTGTGGCCCATATCTTAAAAGCAACGATCATCCTTGTCCAAGATGTTTGAAATTATTATTGAAACGTTGAACACTAGCATATTTATACCAATTTTCATGAAATCATTCGTAATTACATATTACGCAAATGTAATTAGTTGTGTAGATCTGCGGTGAGCGACGTAAGTTACATGTATGCACTGTTCCGTAAAATCAGCTGAACAACAACTTAAGGAGACATTCCATTATCTTTTCAAGTTGCTACTTACCTTCATAGCTTTCTTGAGTGATGTTTACCTCGAATCCGATCCTGGTTACCGAAGAATCGCTGCTAAACTCCATCCATGCCGTGTGGTTATTGGAAACGGCGGTTAGACTCGTCAGGAAACCGCTAAAAAGACCAATAACAGAGTCACTATCGGAGGACTCGTGGCCGTTGCCAATGGTCAACGTGTCGCGTGTTTTCTCCGTATAGAACTCGGAGAAACGGAAGGCTATCGTGGAGCCTTCATCAACTGTGATGAACCAAATGCACCGGGCATTGTTGGGATAGCCGTATGGGAAATAAGGCGAAGTCAGTGTTTCTGAAGTCTGTGTTGAGTTGCTGAGGGTGATGTTGCTTTTTCCACATGGAACTGCGGAAGAAAATAGAACAGTTAACGAAAAATCAGAAAAATACAAGATTTCTTGTAAAACCAAACAATAAGTTTAATTTCAGGAATGCCAGTGGTTTTGCTCAAAAGACAGAAAAAGACTAAATTTAATAAGAATGTACACAAGCCCAAAGAACAAAACATTGTCTTTGGAAAACATGGATCCAAGGTGATTCTGATGCGGTATCCGGCCTGCGGCTAGGCGGGGATGTACTGTACGCTGCTGCACGAAAAGTTATGCATGGCTGGTTCGTAGCTACCTCGAAAGATTGAACATGATTTGAAGAATAAAAAATTGGCCATTGGTCACATTGCATGAAAGTGGAGAATTCACCGAAGTGTTTTTATTAAAACAACATTTCACAATAATGAAAGGTTTGCGGAAACACCATGTGCGAATAATTTCTCAACTAAGAGAATGGTTCTGAAAAGAACCAGAGGTATAAACTCGACGTTCCGGTCAGTATGCTCTGACCGTCTTCAGGAGAGTGAAGACGGTCAGAGCATACTGACCGGAACGTCGAGTTTATACCTCTGGTTCTTTTCAGAACCATTCTCTTAGTTGAGAAATTATTCGCACATGGTGTTTCCGCAAACCTTTCATTATTTAGTATCTCCACCATGCAAAGGCTCAAATCTTACTTAAGATTTCACAAAAAGAATGATTTTTGAAATAGAAAATGTGTTAATTTTCGAAAGAGAGAGTAACTTAGATTTATCCAGGATAACATATATTACATGTGCTATTTTAAAACTAAAGTGATGATAACAATAATGTGATGCTTGAATAACGCTTCATGTCATCTGTTTCAAAGATGGCAGGGGAATAAAAAAGAATTACATAGGCTATTTTCAGCAAGTTTTAGCTTCTTGATAATATCTCGGCATGCTACTTTTGGGATAAATTGAAAAGATCACATATGCCTTTAAGTTTGACAGAGTTTAAGTCAGTTGCAATGATGCCTCATGAATCCGAAATATGCTTACGGCAGTTAGATTCATCTGATCCATCTGGGCACAGTGTAAAACCATCACAGGTGTCGTCACGCGCCAAACAAATCAAGCCAGAGGATACATTCTGGCATGCAAATTCATCCTGTCCACAAGAACCTGCATGCAGCAAAGAGCAAAATAAATAACAGGTAACGTTCAGCAATCGATTCTCCAAACTTGGCACAGTGAACAGCAACTTATCAAGCAAAATATTGTGCATTTCATTAACGTCACATTTGGCAAACTCGTGTGCGTTGCATAAGTTTGCAATTTGCGCAACAAATTATGACTTTGGAATATGTACAATTAAAAAAAAAACAATCTAATTAGGCCTATTAGTCTGTATAGAGTATAAATTCTTTGGTCTCTGCCAACTTGTTAATGTGACGTGAGAAAATTAACGGCTTAAACGTACATGAGTAAGTATATATATATTATTTTATCATAAGATGGAATTTTGCGTCGGGGTGATATAAATCAAATTAGGTTTTGCCCTTCAACGACGTTTGAACACTGTATACTCAGTGTGTTACCTCCCGAGTGAAAGTTGGAAAAATTACTCGGGTGGGACTCGAACCAAACGTCGTTGAAGGGCAAAACCTGATTTGATTTGTATCACCCCGACGCAAAATTCGAAGATAGTTCATGCGGTACCCGCTGCTATGTACATCAGATTCGAACCAGCCAACCGATCATCTCGGTGGTCGAGTGGTAAGACTGACGTCTGCACTAGAAAGCAGGAGGTCTCGGGCTCGAGTCCCACCCGAATAATGTTTCCAACTTTCAATCGGGAGGTAACACACAGAGTATACAGTGTTCAAACGTCGTTGAAGGCAAAACTTAATTTGATTTCTTATTTTATCCTTGACACAAATTTGAGTGTGGCCGCCTGCTTCTGAAGAAGCCCCATTTTTTTTTTCAAAATTGCAAGCATAGCTGATTTAACAAATGCTTCGTGACGATGTCATAAAAGCAGCGATCATCCTTGTCCAAGATGTTTGAAATAATATTTAAAACGTTGAACAGCCTATCAATTTTCATGAAATCATTTACATGTAGTTGTTTAAATCTGCGGCGAGCGACATAAGTTGCATGTATGCCCTGTCCGTAAAATCAGCTGCACACCAACTTCAGGAGACATTCCATTATCTTTTCAAGTTGCTACTTACCTTCAGATCTTTCTTGAGTGATGTTTACCTCGAATCCGATCTCGGTTACCGAAGAATCGCTGGTAAACTCCATCCATGCCGTGTGGTTATTGGAAAAGACGGCTAGACTCTTCAGAGAACTGCTAAAACGACCAATAACAGAGTCACCATCGGAGGACTCGTGGCCGTTGCCAATGGTCAACGTGTCCCATTTTCGCTCCGTGTTGAACACGGAGAAACGGAAGGCTATCGTGGAGCCTTCATCAACTGTGATGAACCAAATGCACCGGGCATTTTTGGGATAGTTGTTTGGGTAATAAGGCGAAGTCAGTGTTTCTGAAGTCTGGGTTGAGTTGTTGAGAGTGATGTTTCTTTTGCCGCAATAACCTGTAGAAGATAAATAAGAATGTGAATGAAAAATCACAAGAAGGACTAAAGTTTCTTGTAAAACCAAACCATAACTCTAATTTCAGGAATGCCAGTGGTTTTGCTCAAAGGACAGAAAAAGACTAAATTTAATCAGAATGTTCTCAAGCCTGAATTATAAAACATTGTCTTTGGATAACATGGATCCGAGGTGATTCTGATGCGGTATCCGGCCTGCGACTAGGCGGTGATGTACTGTACGCTGCTGAACGGAAAGTTGATGTCTGGTTCGTAGCTACCTCAAAGATTGAACATGATTTGAAGAATGAAAAATTGGCCATTGGTCACATTACATGAAAGTGGAGAATTCACCGAAGTGTTTTTATTAAAACAAGATTTCACAAAAAGAATGATTTTTGAAATAGAAAATGTGTTAATTTTCAAAAGGGAGGGTAACTTAGATTTATCCAGGGTAACATATTTTACATGTGCTATTTTAAAACTAAAGTGATGATAACAATAATGTGATGCTTAAATAACGCTTAATGTCATCTGTTTCAAAGATGGCAGGGGAATAAAAAAGAATTACATAGGCTATGTTGAGCAAGTGTTAGCTTCTTGATAATAGTTTGGCATGCTACTTTTGGAATAAATTGAAAAGATCAAACATGCCTTTAAGTTTAACAGGGTTTAAGTCAGTTGCAATGCTGCTTCATGAATCCGAAATATGCTTACGGCAGTTAGATTCATCTGATCCATCTGGGCACAGTGTAAAGCCATCACCATCACAGGTGTCGTTAAGTGCCAAACAAATCAAGCCAGAGGATTCATCCTGGCATGCAAATTCATCCTGTCCACAAGAACCTGCATGCAGCAAAGAGCAGAATAAATAACAGGTAACGTTTGCAATCGATTCTCCAAACTTGGCACAGTGAACAGCAACTTATCAAGCAAAATATTGTGCATTTCATTAACGTCACATTTGGCAAACTCGTGTGCGTTGCATAAGTTTGCAATTTGCGCAACAAATTATGACTTTGGAATATGTACAATTAAAAAAAAAAAACAATCTAATTAGGCCTATTAGTCTGTATAGAGTATAAATTCTTTGGTCTCTGCCAACTTGTTAATGTGACGTGAGAAAATTAACGGCTTAAACGTACATGAGTAAGTATATTTATATTATTTTATCACAAGATGGAATTTTGCGTCGGGGTGATATAAATCAAATTAGGTTTTGCCCTTCAACGACGTTTGAACACTGTATACTCAGTGTGTTACCTCCCGAGTGAAAGTTGGAAAAATTACTTGGGTGGGACTCGAACCAAACGTCGTTGAAGGGCAAAACCTGATTTGATTTGTATCAACCCGACGCAAAATTCGAAGATAGTTTTTTCATTTCATTTCATTTCAGAAACATTTATTTCCACATGAATAAGCACTTTAGAAAACAAAACAATTGTTACATGAAAACTACTAAGTGGAGGCATTACACAAGAAGCCGAAGCTTATAAACGGAATGCCTTAAACACAACAAAATATATCAAGAGGGCGCAAACAGAGCTAAGTAAACATATATGGGACTTAAAGGACGAAGGGAAAGACTATGAAATCAAATGGGACATAGTTCTGAAAGCACTGCCATACTCTAACGTAAACAAGAGATGCAATTTGTGTATAGCAGAGAAGTACATAATCATATGTAGGCCAGATCTAGGTACACTGAATAAGAGAAGCGAAATCGTCTCCAAGTGCAGGCATCGAGACAGATGTGTTCTTACTTCAGTGACGTAAACGCGTACTAACTTCAATGACGTAACGCGCGTAACGCGTGCGCGCGCTTGATTCGAAATAAGGTAAGATGCTACTTGTATTCTATTTTTCGTCATTCTGCTGATGAGTGCCTTATGGTACGAAACAGTCTGTTCAGAAAGAGAATATTCTGAATTTATTGCATATATATATATATATATATATATAAACAATACTGAAAAGGGAAGACTAAATTCAAAAGACAAAACATAACAAAACAAAACAATGAAACAGAAACAGACAAACAAACGGAGTGGACGTAAACTTAATAAACTTTACAGACGGACATACGAAACATACTAGTGATACAACGACACAGTTTATAAAATGGATGATGCAGGCAAAACAAAGCACAATTAAAGCAAACGGTATGAATGTAGAAAAACCAACAAAAGACAAAGCAAACTATGCTATATACTGGGAGATAAGATGGTTCTTGAAAGTGGTTTTAAATCGGCCAACAGAGGACTGCGATTTCATGCGGTACCCGCTGCTATGTACATCAGATTCGAACCAGCCAACCGATCATCTCGGTGGTCGAGTGGTAAGACGTCTGCACTAGAAAGCAGGAGGTCTCGGGCTCGAGTCCCACCCGAATAATGTTTCCAACTTTCAATCGGGAGGTAACACACAGAGTATACAGTGTTCAAACGTCGTTGAAGGCAAAACTTAATTTGATTTCTTATTTTATCCTTGACACAAATTTGAGTGTGGCCGCCTGCTTCTGAAGAAGTCACATTTTTTTTTCAAAATTGCAAGCATAGCTGATTTAACAAATGCTTCGTGACGATGTCATAAAAGCAGCGATCATCCTTGTCCAAGATGTTTGAAATAATATTTAAAACGTTGAACAGCCTATCAATTTTCATGAAATCATTTACATGTAGTTGTTTAAATCTGCGGCGAGCGACATAAGTTGCATGTATGCCCTGTCCGTAAAATCAGCTGCACACCAACTTCAGGAGACATTCCATTATCTTTTCAAGTTGTTACTTACCTTCAGATCTTTCTTGAGTGATGTTTACCTCGAATCCGATCTCGGTTACCGAAGAATCGCTGGTAAACTCCATCCATGCCGTGTGGTCATTGGAAATGACGGCTAGACTCTTCAGAGAACTGCTAAAACGACCAATAACAGAGTCACCATCGGAGGACTCGTGGCCGTTGCCAATGGTCAACGTGTCCCATTTTCGCTCCGTGTTGAACACGGAGAAACGGAAGGCTATCGTGGAGCCTTCATCAACTGTGATGAACCAAATGCACCGGTCATTGTCGGGATACTTGTTTGGGTAATAAGGCGAAGTCAGTGTTTCTGAAGTCTGCGTTGAGTTGCTGAGGGTGATGTTACTTTTTCCACATGGAACTGCAGAAGAAAATAAAACAGTTAATGAAAAATCAGAAAAATCCAAGGTTTCTTGTAAAACCAAACAATAAGTTTGATTTCAGGAATGCCAGTGGTTTTGCTCAAAAGACAGAAAAAGACTAAATTTAATCAGAATGTTCTCAAGCCTGAATTATAAAACATTGTCTTTGGATAACATGGATCCGAGGTGATTCTGATGCGGTATCCGGCCTGCGACTAGGCGGTGATGTACTGTACGCTGCTGAACGGAAAGTTGATGTCTGGTTCGTAGCTACCTCGAAAGATTGAACGTGATTTGAAGAATGAAAAATTGGCCATTGGTCACATTGCATGAAAGTGGAGAATTCACCGAAGTGTTTTTATTCAAACAACATTTCACAAAAGGAATGATTCTTGTTTAAAACAAGATTTCACAAAAGGAATGATTCTTGAAATAGAAAATGTGTTGAATTTCGAAAGAGAGGGTAACTTAGATTTAGCTAGGGTAACATATTTTACATGTGCTACTTTAAAACTAAAGTGATGATAACAATAATGTGATGCTTGAATAACGCTCAAAGTCATCTGTTTCAAAGATGTGGGAGAGAAAAAAATTACATATGTGGAGCAAGTGTCAGCTTCTTGATGACAGCTCGGCATGCTACGTTTGGGATAAATTGAAAAAAAATCACGCATGCCGTTCAGTTTAACAGAGTTTAGGTCAGTTGCAATGATGCTTCATGAATCCGAAATATACTTACGGCAGTTAGATTCATCTGATCCATCTGGGCACAGTGTAAAGCCATCACCATCACAGGTGTCGTTAAGTGCCAAACAAATCAAGCCAGAGGATTCATCCTGGCATGCAAATTCATCCTGTCCACAAGAACCTGCATGCAGCAAAGAGCAGAATAAATAACAGGTAACGTTTGCAATCGATTCTCCAAACTTGGCACAGTGAACAGCAACTTATCAAGCAAAATATTGTGTTTCATTAACGTCACATTTGGCAAACTCGTGTGCGTTGCATAAGTTTGCAATTTGCGCAACAAATTATGACTTTGGAATATGTACAATTAAAAAAAAAAAACAATCTAATTAGGCCTATTAGTCTGTATAGAGTATAAATTCTTTGGTCTCTGCCAACTTGTTAATGTGACGTGAGAAAATTAACGGCTTAAACGTACATGAGTAAGTATATTTATATTATTTTATCATAAGATGGAATTTTGCGTCGGGGTGATATAAATCAAATTAGGTTTTGCCCTTCAACGACGTTTGAACACTGTATACTCAGTGTGTTACCTCCCGAGTGAAAGTTGGAAAAATTACTTGGGTGGGACTCGAACCAAACGTCGTTGAAGGGCAAAACCTGATTTGATTTGTATCAACCCGACGCAAAATTCGAAGATAGTTTTTTCATTTCATTTCATTTCAGAAACATTTATTTCCACATGAATAAGCACTTTAGAAAACAAAACAATTGTTACATGAAAACTACTAAGTGGAGGCATTACACAAGAAGCCGAAGCTTATAAACGGAATGCCTTAAACACAACAAAATATATATATATATATATATATATATATATATATATATATAACAATACTGAAAAGGGAAGACTAAATTCAAAAGACAAAACATAACAAAACAAAACAATGAAACAGAAACAGACAAACAAACGGAGTGGACGTAAACTTAATAAACTTTACAGACGGACATACGAAACATACTAGTGATACAACGACACAGTTTATAAAATGGATGATGCAGGCAAAACAAAGCACAATTAAAGCAAACGGTATGAATGTAGAAAAACCAACAAAAGACAAAGCAAACTATGCTATATACTGGGAGATAAGATGGTTCTTGAAAGTGGTTTTAAATCGGCCAACAGAGGACTGCGATTTCATGCGGTACCCGCTGCTATGTACATCAGATTCGAACCAGCCAACCGATCATCTCGGTGGTCGAGTGGTAAGACGTCTGCACTAGAAAGCAGGAGGTCTCGGGCTCGAGTCCCACCCGAATAATGTTTCCAACTTTCAATCGGGAGGTAACACACAGAGTATACAGTGTTCAAACGTCGTTGAAGGCAAAACTTAATTTGATTTCTTATTTTATCCTTGACACAAATTTGAGTGTGGCCGCCTGCTTCTGAAGAAGTCACATTTTTTTTTCAAAATTGCAAGCATAGCTGATTTAACAAATGCTTCGTGACGATGTCATAAAAGCAGCGATCATCCTTGTCCAAGATGTTTGAAATAATATTTAAAACGTTGAACAGCCTATCAATTTTCATGAAATCATTTACATGTAGTTGTTTAAATCTGCGGCGAGCGACATAAGTTGCATGTATGCCCTGTCCGTAAAATCAGCTGCACACCAACTTCAGGAGACATTCCATTATCTTTTCAAGTTGTTACTTACCTTCAGATCTTTCTTGAGTGATGTTTACCTCGAATCCGATCTCGGTTACCGAAGAATCGCTGGTAAACTCCATCCATGCCGTGTGGTCATTGGAAATGACGGCTAGACTCTTCAGAGAACTGCTAAAACGACCAATAACAGAGTCACCATCGGAGGACTCGTGGCCGTTGCCAATGGTCAACGTGTCCCATTTTCGCTCCGTGTTGAACACGGAGAAACGGAAGGCTATCGTGGAGCCTTCATCAACTGTGATGAACCAAATGCACCGGTCATTGTCGGGATACTTGTTTGGGTAATAAGGCGAAGTCAGTGTTTCTGAAGTCTGCGTTGAGTTGCTGAGGGTGATGTTACTTTTTCCACATGGAACTGCAGAAGAAAATAAAACAGTTAATGAAAAATCAGAAAAATCCAAGGTTTCTTGTAAAACCAAACAATAAGTTTGATTTCAGGAATGCCAGTGGTTTTGCTCAAAAGACAGAAAAAGACTAAATTTAATCAGAATGTTCTCAAGCCTGAATTATAAAACATTGTCTTTGGATAACATGGATCCGAGGTGATTCTGATGCGGTATCCGGCCTGCGACTAGGCGGTGATGTACTGTACGCTGCTGAACGGAAAGTTGATGTCTGGTTCGTAGCTACCTCGAAAGATTGAACGTGATTTGAAGAATGAAAAATTGGCCATTGGTCACATTGCATGAAAGTGGAGAATTCACCGAAGTGTTTTTATTCAAACAAGATTTCACAAAAGGAATGATTCTTGTTTAAAACAAGATTTCACAAAAGGAATGATTCTTGAAATAGAAAATGTGTTGAATTTCGAAAGAGAGGGTAACTTAGATTTAGCTAGGGTAACATATTTTACATGTGCTACTTTAAAACTAAAGTGATGATAACAATAATGTGATGCTTGAATAACGCTCAAAGTCATCTGTTTCAAAGATGTGGGAGAGAAAAAAATTACATATGTGGAGCAAGTGTCAGCTTCTTGATGACAGCTCGGCATGCTACGTTTGGGATAAATTGAAAAAAAATCACGCATGCCGTTCAGTTTAACAGAGTTTAGGTCAGTTGCAATGATGCTTCATGAATCCGAAATATACTTACGGCAGTTAGATTCATCTGATCCATCTGGGCACAGTGTAAAGCCATCACCATCACAGGTGTCGTCACGTGCCAAACAAATCAAGCCAGAGGATTCATCCTGGCATGCAAATTCATCTTGTCCACAAGAACCTGCATGCAGCAAAGAGCAGAATAAATATCAGGTAACGTTTGCAATCGATTCTCTAAACTTTGCACGATGACAGCAACTTATCAAGCAAAATATTGTGCATTGCAATTACGCCCGTCACATTTTGCAAACTCGTATGCGTTGCATAAGTTTGCAATTTGCACAACAAATTATGACTTTGGAAAATGAACAATTAAAAAAAAAACTCTATAGGCCTTTTAGTCTGTAGAGCCTTAATTAACTGGTTGCTGCCAACTTGTTAATGTTGACGTATTAATGGCTTAAACGTACACGAGTAAGTATTATTTTATCCTTGACACAAATTCGAGTGTGGCCACCCGTACCTGCTTCTGAAGAAGCCACAATTTTTTTTCAAAATGGCAAGCATAGCTGATTTAACAAATGCTTCGTGACGATGCCTTAAAAGCAACGATCATCCTTGTCCAAATTGTTTGAAAATAATATTTAAAACGTTGAACAGCATACACATTTTCATGAAATCATTCGTAATTATATATTACGCAAATGTAATTAGTTGTGTAAATCTGCGGTGAGCGACGTAAGTTATATGTATGCACTCTTCCGTAAAATCAGCTGCACAACAACTTCAGGAGACATTACATTATCTTTTAAGTTGCTACTTACCTTCAGGTCTTTCTTGAGTGATCTTTACCTCGAATCCGACCTCGGTAACCGAAGAATCGCTGGTAAATTCCATCCATGCCGTGTGGTTATTGGAAAAGACGGCTAGACTCGTCAGAAAACTGCTAAAAAGACCAATAACAGAGTCACTATCGGAGGACTCGTGGCCGTTGCCAATGGTCAACGTGTCCCGTCTTCGCTGCGTATTGAACACGGAGAAACGGAAGGCTATCGTGGAGCCTTCATCAACTGTGATGAACCAAATGCTCCGGGCATTGTTGGGATAGTTGTTTGGGTAATAAGGCGAAGTCAGTGTTTCTGGAGTCTGGGTTGAGTTGTTGAGAGTTATGTTTCTTTTCCCGCAAAAACCTGTAGAAAATAAATAAGAATGTGAATGAAAAATCATCAAAAGGACTAAGGTTTCTTGTAAAACCAAGCCATAAATTTTATTTCAGGAATGCCAGTGGTTTTGCTCTAGGGACAGAAAAATAACTAAATTAATTTATTCAGAATTAGCACAATCTCGAAGTATTTTGTGAAGTCCCGAAGTATAAACTGTTTCGTAACCGATGTCTTATAAGCAACGATCATCCTTGTCCAAAGTGTTTGAAATATTTTTAACGTTGAACAGCATACCAATTTTCATGAAATCATTCGTAATTATATATTACGCAAAGGTAATTACATGTATTATAAGATGGAATTTTTGCGTCGGGGTGATATAAATCAAATTAGGTTTTGCCCTTCACCGACGTTTTTTAAACACTGTATACTCAGTGTGTTACCTCCCGAGTGAAAGTTGGAAAAAATCACTCGGGTGGGACTCGAACCCACGACCTCCTGCTTTCTAGTGCAGATGTCTTACCACTCGACCACCGAGCTAACGGGATCAGTTAAAAAACGTCGGTGAAGAGCAAAACCTAATTTGAGGTAATTACATGTAGTTGTGTAAATCTAAGTTACATGTATGCACTCTTCCGTAAAATCAGCTGCACAACAACTGCAGGGGACATTACATTATCTTTTCAAGTTGCTACTTACCTTCAGGTCTTTCTTGAGTGATCTTTACCTCGAATCCGACCTCGGTTACCGAATAATCGCTGGTAAACTTCATCCATGCCGTGTGGTTATTGGAAACGACGGATAGATTCGTCAGGAAACCCCTCCAAAGACCAATAACAGAGTCACCATCGGAGGACTCGTGGCCGTTGCCAATGGTCAACGTGTCGTAAAATCGCTCCGTATTGAACACGGAGAAACGGAAGGCAATCGTGGAGCCTTCATCAACTGTGATGAACCAAATGCACCGGGCATCGTTGGGATAGTTTTTTGGGTAATAAGGCGAAGTCAGTGTTTCTGAAGTCTGTGTTGAGTTGCTGAGAGTGATGTTGCTTTTTCCGCATGGAACTGCGGAAGAAAATAAAACAGTTTATGAAAAATCAACAAAAATAATAGGTTTCTTGTAAATCAAGCAATTAGTTTAATTTCAGGATCAGGAATGCCAGTGGTTTTGCTCAAGGGACAGAAAAAAAACTAAATTTAATCAGAATGTGCACAAGCCTGAATTATAAAACATTGTCTTTGGATAGCATGGATCCAAGGTGATTCTGATATCCGGCCTGCGGCTGGCGGTGATGTACTGTACGCTGCTGAGCGAAAAGTTGATGTCTGGTTCGTAGCTAGCTCATCATAAGTTTGAATATAACTTGAGGCTCGAAAGACTGGCCATTGGTCACATTGCATGATGGTGGAGATTTCACCGCAGTGGTTTTTTGTTATGTAAACAAGTCAGTTGCAAAGTGATTCATGAATCCAAATTATGCCTATACCGCAAATAGATTCATCCGATTCATCCGGGCACAGTGCTTCGACGTTTCTCCGACTTTCTTCGTGCAGTGTTGCCAAACTTCTGTGTTTATAACCTTCAAACTCAATCAGTTAAATACTGGTCTTTCTCCTTGAATGCTGTTGCCCCGAAAATTATTCGCCGATGGCTGCCTCGCAAAGCCACGTCACCGCCCGGTCGTCTGCAAAAAGGTGTCGAGAGGCTGCATTGGAACCGCCGAAGAAGGCACTTTTGCAGATATTTTCTATCGTGTCCACAGTACTGCCGGTACTAAGAGGGGACACACTGCTGCTCCACTTATGGAAGGTAGACATGCAAGGTCCAGCGCCAGAGCGGAACGGGTTAAACTTGGTCCAAGCGTTGCTTGGGAGATGCATGTCAGAAGTCGAACAGTAGGCTCGGCGATCAGTACTGTATCGATCCTTACATGGGAGTCCGTTGTTCTGGTGTCTTTATGAGCAGGTTTTTATCGCCAATGTGCACCCCGAATCGCCTGTTTGCATGGAGGACTTCGATTATCTGACATGTCCAGGGAGACAGCAAGTGAGACGGACATTTTGGTGCGCAGGCCCATTGTGCCACATATCGTATGTTGCGGTGAGGTCTAAAAAGATCGCAACGATTTTCAGTTTTGGTTGGTAGTCGCTCTTTATAATTATATGTAGTAAGTGCCAGCACCTAATCTGCCGTGCTGTGGCCGCTCCTGAATCCTGCTTGATCAGGGGAGAGAAAAACATCGACAAGAATTAGTGGAGCGATGTGGTTGAGGATCACTGTTTCAAGGAGCTTGTAGCAGATGCAGAGGAGATAGATCAGTCTGTATTAACTGGCTGCTAGCTTCGGGTCTTTCCCAGGCTTAGGTATGGCAATGACATTCGCTGTTATCCACGTGTTGGGAATCTATTTGTCATAGATCACCCGGGTGAGGAATTTGGTTAGCAAGTTGATGACTTGGTGTCCCAAGTTCTTGATGAATTCTGGGTAGGCCCTATATACATCTGGTCGTACCCAGCGGCCTTACCTGTTTCCAAATTCCTAACTGCGCTAGTGACTTCGAGTGATGTGAAGGATGAGGGAGACTAGGTCATACGAGTTTAAGCTGTTTTTCATGTATGATGGACCTGTTTCTTGATTTCTTTCTCTCTTGAGTGGACGCTGGATCTGCTGGAGGTTGGGATTGGCTGTTGTCCCACACCGAGTTAGCATAAGAGTTTACAGCTTTTGCGGCTGTATAATGTGTGAAGTCTACACTGCTTGTTGTTTCTTCCCATGCCCAGCAACTACGTCTGGCATCATTGAGGGTCTGAATGAGTTATCGGAGATCTCAGCGTTTTCGGTATCTACGTACTGTACTCCGTCAGATGTTGTCGGCATTCTTCATCATATTGAGGCAAGGTGTATAGGTCGGTCTGAAGCCGTGGGGAATATGACGTTTCGCAGCTTTTGCTATAGCCCGGGTGAAGCGGTCATAGGCTTTGTTGATTAAAATGTTCTGGGGGAAAATGCTTCACTCCAGGTCACTGGTGAAGCTTGTCCAGTTGGCTTTTCGGACGTTCCATCTTGGTTTCTGGACGGATTTGATGATGGGCAGTCAGATTCCGATGTCGATTGCACATACGTACGATGGGTCTGTGTTGGACGCGTGGAAACCCAGGAAGGGCATTTGGCTGGAAGGAGACATCCGTCCTTCGAGGAGACCCAACAGAGGTCTGGAGAGTGCTGCGTTACCCAGCAAACCGATCTGATAGACCCGTGTTGTTCATGTCCAGCACCGTAGGTGGGTGTGTGCGTGGTTGGACCATTCCGTGACACATTTGATTTCCTGTCATTTCTATTGTATCACCAGATGGCGTGATGGCTATTGAAGTCGCCCACATAAATGGCTGGGTAAGGTAACATAGAAAGGAGGCTTGTAGACATCCGTGATCGAGTAGTCTCCAACCGAGATAACATCGTAGATGTTGGACTATCTACAAACGATGCATCAGTGACGCTGGAGCGGACAGAAGTGGCGCGGCAATGTTTTCGTGGCCTGAGGCTGCAATTAATGAGGTCAAAGTTGGTGATGGTGAGCCTTGATCGTGGGTCTTCGGTAAATATTCTACTAAAGGAAGAAAAACGTCGTTGACGAATTAAATCAACGTGAACTTACCATCGCACAATATACCATTCGCCAGAATGATCAGTAAGAAAATGCGCCATTCTTGATGACATCTCCTCCTGGTCTGCATTGTTGAACGAGGCACTAAATACACTGCCTTATGCTGTACTTGTAAAAATACAAAAGACGGACCAGTCGGGCGACGCCTACTGGAGATATAAAAAAAAAAATACAATATCTAAAGAATCGGTCACAAATTTAAAGGATTATAAATTCTGCTCTTTTTGCACTTTTTTTCCTGTACTGCCATACGTTTCAAGTGGGCCCGGTTTTATAGTCCAGTAAGAATTGACGAGGACCCTGACATTTAGTTAACAGGCATATTCTGCTGGCAATGTGTTAATTGGCACTCCAGCTATCTCCCAAACATTCAACCAAAATCTACCTTCGGGAAATATGTCAACTAATTAAAAAACAAAATGCATGAACATATATTGAAAGGCATGTATTTCCGACACCTGAGCGAAATCCTACTCTTTGTCTGGGCAAGGATCCTTGCTTCATTTCAATTCAAAAAAATATAAAATGGTAAATTTAAGAGCGTCATTGTTGTCATCGATACTGTTGTAATCTTCGTCATTAAAATACCGAGTGGTTACTCTCCTCAAAACTGTTGCATATTTCAAGAACAGATTGCCCTAATAGATACCGAAAAGTCAATTCCATTTTTACCCTGCCGAATTTCATTTTAAAGTGGCGTAATGGGGGAGCCCCCCCCCCCCCCCTCATTGAGGACTCCCTCACCCCAACCCCTTTTCGAATTTTGGGAGACAGAAGTAAGCATTTTAATTATTGAGAGCGCCTACTCACGGGCGTCGCTACGGGGGGGGGGTGTCACACAGGGGGAAGAAGAAAAATGGAGAATGGAAATAATAAACACCGCTGCTAAAATCCGGTTTTGTAAAATGATGGTAAAAGACTATACATTTTGTCATGTCAGTCGCGCGAGGTAACTTCATATGGCGGTTGACAGCTACAGCTGTGCAAAACACACGCACATGCTCGCTCGCGGGCAGTTCAGTTACGAATTGAGCTGATTCTTAGTGACGACTAAAAAATCATGGATCAAGCTAAAGAGGGCAAATCTCGAAAGAAAGTCAAGCTACAGTCTGCTGTGATGTTTGTGATGTAATATATCAATTTTGATGACCCACCCCCATCTCCCTACACTCTAAAAACTGAAGTGATGAATGTTAACATTTTCGAAGTGTTACTACCAAAACAACATTTCAAATGTTGCAAAAGGTTATTCCAACTCTTAGTAATGCTAAAGGTAACCAACTTCAAGATGTGACTTTTCATTTTAAAAGTGTTGTGAGCTTTCCTGCATAGACGCATGCGCAGTAATGTATTAGGCGACTGAGCATTTTGATTGGATAGTGAGTTCAGCGCGCCGCGCGCGCGCACTAGATTTTTTTCCGTCCGAGCTCCAATATGGCATTGCGTTCTTCATTAGCTTTTGTCCTACATCGACCAACATCGCCGACCATCATGATATAACCAGCTGAGTAAAGGTGAGATTTTTTATACTGAGATATTAGCGTAGGGACACTGCACATTTTGATGTTAATACTACTTACTTACGTGCATTTGATTTGCGTGATGTATCGACGATGTAAGTACGTATCTTACAATCGACAGAAGTATGACCAATCTTCAATCTTTACAATCTCAGTTATGTGTACATGTATTTCCATATGAGGACCATGTATCGATACATCAGGCAAATCCGATTGTTACCTCAGCACACCAATTCAGATATTGGAAATATGGAAAATGTAGGTGTGAAATAAGCTTTTGTAATGAGGTAAAACGTAACAAAAATCTGGTCAAAATTTTGGGTGGTATTACGTAGAGAACTCTCATCCTTACGGTGGCCCTGGAACGACATTTTAATATTGACCTTTTTAATGTGAACCTTGTAACTTCTTAATATTGACGTTGTACCTTCGCAATATGCACGTTGCACGTAGCTTAATATCGCATTGTGGAAGTTGTTCCTTCTTAATGTGAATGTTCCAACTTGTTAATGATCACGTTCGCGATCTTGTCAATGTACACCATTGATCATGCTTGATGTCAACGTTGCACCTTGCTTCTTCGCAATATGAACCATGTACCTTCGCATTGTGAACGTTTGACCTTGCATCTTGTTAATATCATTGTTGAACCGTCCTCCTTCGCAATGTGAATCATGCATTCTAAAAAGTACGAAGTCCTTGCCAATAACCAGTTATGATGGAGTTTCAATCTGACGGCTGTTTAATGTCACTTAACCCGGGCGTCTACCTTGTAGTGATTTTTATCATGACTCAAGGCTCTCTGTTTTATTCCACTCATCTTTTATAATTTATGTTCAGGCTAACCATAACCCAAGGTTGGGCATACATGTAAAAACATGCATCCTAAAGCAAATTTGCCATTGTTTCAAATATCCCGATCTAATCATTTCAACCGTTTACTATACACAAATTTATACCGGTTTGCTTTCTGAATGTACTGATTTCTGTCTTCCTGTACTTTCATCTTTGCCATATCCCAATAATTTTTGACATGCCAACAGGGCTCCTTACCAAATAGTATGAGGATCCCCGCTGTTTTGACGAGCATTTGGTTTTCGGGCTACTGCTAAGTCAAACCCTACATACCCCCCCCCCCCAGATATCTGCGCCTGACCGCAACATGAAGAATATTCGCAATTGGCTGACGATCAGTCATGTATGCATGAACTCCAAGCAAACAAATTCGTATAGGGTGCCCCGGCAACACGTGATTCGCGCTCAACGCAACGGTGCGGTCGTGATGCGGCGCTCTCTCGCGGTGGCGGGTTATAGAGCGGGAGCCAGGGGGGGTCAGCCTAGCTGGAAAGTTAACCAATTTTCATGTATGCAGCAATGTTCCACATGCATACCAATGTAAGGAAATGGACGTCTGCCGGGCACACTGTGGTTGAAAGAAAGGGCAGGACAGGAGACTGGTGACGAGTCTATGATTGGTTGATTTGCTCTCCTTTAATTACTGATTGTTCTCAAATTACAATGATGAAGATGGTATCTGAGCTGATTAGGTTAATTCACTGATGAAGACTTTAAGCTGTGGAATGGGAGCCGTGAACTGCAATGGAGGTTGTGTAAGCCGTGTGGTAGGCCGTGGTTCTACAAGAAAACCAAATTAATACAATAATAAATATTGGAACCTACATTAATGAGGTGACATGAAAAACACCTGAAAATGGACTAAGATTCATGTAATAATTTCCCCAAGTATCAACTAAACTATCTAACAAACTGAGGGATTAGATAAGCTATTATAAGCCCCAAATTACACTAAATTAACCAGCAATAATGATTAAATATGAGGGCATAATCCTTAGTAAAAAGATCAATAAAATGTACGTACATGTACCCATAAAACAACATGTGATGAAACCCACGTTATTTATCCATTACAAAACCCCCCACAAAATATCCCTTAAAATCATCTATAAATCTACTCACTTTTAGCTTCAACGCAGGGCCGCTGATGGACGGCATACAGATGAATAGGAAAATTTGGGTTAACCTGGGATTTTACGTTTGATTGAAGGAATAATTGCGAGGTTTATCGGAATGATTTCAGGACAAATGTGACTAAAATTGGAATCACATTGGAATTTTTCTAGATTCATAATCACGAGAGGGCGCTATACCAATTTAACGCTTAGACACTTTCGTACAGCCGCCCCTAAATTTGAGCATAAAATTTACTAAATCTGAAAGTGTCCCTAAGAATCACAAGAGTAATGATACAAGGTAACAGTTTAGGTGTTGTCGGGTTCACCATCGGGTAGGTTGTCGTCACTGACCTACGGAAGCCTGATCAGTCGTGCCACTGGGCGAGTGTAGGTTTTACCTTGAACGCTCACGCTAGCAGTGCGGACACGACCGTCGGAACCCGGAAAGGTCTCTGCAACTCTTCCGATGGGCCACTGAGCTCTGCTGAGTGCTGGGTCGACAATCATAACAACATCATTGGTGGTCAGGTTCGGACGGTCTGTATGCTACTTCTGGCGCTCCTGGAGAGTCGGCAAGTAGGATTTGACGAACCCGGACCAAAAGTGATCAGTGAGGACCTGACTATGCTGCCAGCGTCGTCTGCCAAGTAAATCCCTTGCAGGATAGATAACCTGAGGGAGAGTCGCATCATGCCGCCCCATCAGCAGAAGGTTTGGAGTAACTGGATCGGGATCTGCAACATTAGATGAGACATACCCCAGAGGCTTGGAATTTAAGATTCCCTCGACTTCAATGAGCACGGTGCGAAGTACCGACTCAGGGACGGACTGCTCATTCAGGGCAACTCTCAGGCCATCTTTCACAGACTTGATCTCCCGTTCCCAGGTTCCTCCAAAGTGTGGAGCCTTCGGAGGGTTAAACACAAACTTGACCTGGTGCTTGGCAAGCTCCTGCTGTAAGATGGGATCCATGGCAGCAAAGGCGTCCCATAGCTCATTATCACCTCCTTTGAAATTAGTGCCACAGTCGCACAGGATCTCAAATGGTTTCCCTCTTCTGGAGATGAACCGTCTAAAGGCCATCAAGAACGCGTCAGTATCGAGGCTGTCTAGTAGGTCAAGGTGAATGGCCCTGGTGGTCATACATTTAAATATGATCCCCCAACGCTTCTCGCTCCTTCTCCCGATCTTGCACGTCATTGGACCAAAACAATCTACCCCTGTTGAGTAGAAAGGAGGCTTGAAGAGGCGGAGGCGTGCTGGAGGCAAATCTCCCATCTTCGGAAATTGAGGGCTAGCTCTCCACTTCTGGCATTCGAAGCACTGGCGTTGATGCTTTCGGATTGCTTCTCTTCCGCGTAGTATCCAAAACTTACGTCAGATCTCTGCCAGGATGCGCTCGGGTCCGTAGTGGAGCAACTTCTCATCGTAGTCACGGATGATAAGCTTTGTTATGGGATGAGCTGGATTAATCACGATGGGATGCTTGGTGTCTTTGGGTAGATCTTGGGTACGACGAAGACGTCCTCCCACTCGGATGAAGCCGCAAGATTCGTCATACTCTGGAGCAAGCTGCAGGAGTCTGCTACCATATGGGAGCTCTTTGCCTGCTTGGATGCAAGTAATCTCCTCTGGGAAGGAATCTTGTTGAGCACGCTGATAAAGAAACATCTCGGCTTCTACCCGTTGTTCAACCAACTTGGTAGGATCAGCATCGTCGGCCGCCCCATGAAGATGCTGCATGGTAGCTGCAACAAGGTCACTCCAGGTGTCATGTTCGGATGGATCAGGTAAGTTGGGCTGAATGACGACCACAGCACCACAGGAGGTTGACTTCTTGAACTCAGATGGGTCTTCTGTCTGTGTAGACGGGTGAGCTGGCCATGTGTCGGGAGACAACCGGAGGAAGGAAGGACCATCTCTCCATCTGTTGGCTTGGCTGAGGTCAACCAGGGTTTTGCCTCTCGTAAGGTCATCTGCGGGGTTGTTCTTGGTGTCGACATACCGCCACTTGTCAACATCGGTCAGGGTCTGTATTTCTGCGACACGGGTGCCAACGAACACTTTATACCGGCAGGATTCTGATTGCAGCCAGGTGAGCACAGTAGTCGAGTCACTCCACAGGATGACTTCATCAAGAGGGAGAGTCAACTCTTTCTAGACAAGATCCGCTAATTGGGCACCGGCTAAGGCTGCGGAGAGCTCTAGACGAGGCATTGAGAGTTGCCGTTTGGGGCCAACACGGGACCTGGCCATGATGACGCTAACATGGGCGTTGTGATCTTCATCTTCTGTTCGGATGTAAGCCACAGCTCCGTAAACTCTCTCTGATGCATCACAGAAAATGTGAAGTTGGCGATGGGCAGCCTCTGTCTTGGCATTTGGTGGTGTGTAGCATCTGTTAAGCTTCACTCCAGTCAGGTGGGGAAGTTCACTCTCCCAGGCTTGCCACTGGTCTCTGATATCACCCGGCTCAAGTGGATCATCCCAGTTGCGCTTCGTCTTCCACAGGTCTTGGACAATGACTCTCGCTCAGGCTGTAAATGGGGTTAGGTACCCTATAGGGTCGTACTGGCTCGCAAGGATCTTATACATATTCCTCATGTTGAGGCAGTCATAGCTGATGGGTCTGTGGCGGTACAGCAGGGCATCTGAACTGCATTCCCACAACATTCCAAGTGTGGCTTCAGTGGAATTGGTCTCCCCGAAGGTTAACCACAGCTCACAGCCATCAGAACGGGCATCTGGTGGGAGATCTTCTACTACAGCAGGAACGTTGCTGGCCCACTGTCGTATTTCAGACCCACCGTCAGAAAGCAGGTTTCGCATCTTCTGGACAAGGGCTTTGGCATCTGTCTCGACTGGTAGACTCTGCAAGCAGTTGTCAACGTAGAAGGACTTGTCGACTGCCTTTGCAACTTCTGGATAGTCCTTCTCATGGTCAAAGGCGTGCTTTCTCAGAGCATAGGTAGCACAGCAGGGACTACAAGTCGAGCCAAAGGGAAGCACCTGCCATTCGTAGACGTCTGGCTCTTTGTCGACTTGTAAGTTGCGCCACAGGAATCGGAAGAGGCATCGGTCTTCTGGTAGGAGGCGTACTTGATGAAACATCGCTTTGATGTCTCCTGAGATTGCTACTGTGTGTTGTCTGAAGCGGAGTAGTACACCTATGAGTGATGCACCAAGTGTTGGCCCTGGCAGGAGGTGCTCATTAAGGATCTGGTTGTTGTACCGGAAGGAGCAGTTGAATACTAGTCGATACTTTCCGTTGTGGTATACGGTATGGTGTGGGATGAACCAGGATTCTTCGGACTTGTCTGCTTCATCCTTTGGCAAGATCCTCACGTGACCCGCATCGACCAACTTGGCGATTAGCTCGTTGTGTTTCTGAGCAAGCTGTGGGTATTTGTCGAGTCTCTTCTCGGTCCCCTTCAGAGTCGGTAGCACTGCCTCTTTCGGGGCATGGAATTTCATCTCGTCCCCTTGCCTCAGGAGCGGAGTGGCGTAGTGCCATATCCCGTTGACTTGAACGCGTTGAGTTGTGGCCTCAAGCATCTGAACTGCCTGTTGATCATGCTTAGAACGGGTAGCTTGCTTGTCATTCAGGTACGGTAGCACATCAGCCTGCCACAACCTCTCCACGTGCTGCATGATGTCGGTAGTTTGTGGAAACAGAGAAGTTTTGAAAACCTTCTGTTCTTTCAGCTGCTTCTGGTTCCCAGCAGGTCCCTGGAGGGTCCAACCCAGCTTAGTGTTGATGGCAACTGGAGCTCCACGTTTGCCAGATTTGATTGGATGTCTTGCCACGATGAGATCCGCCTGATCAGATCCAATGAGGACCTGTGGAGAAGCATTATTGATTACGGGCAACTGAAGGTGACGGAGATGGGAGTAGCGGTGTTGCAGATCTTCAACAGGATATGTGTACTGGAATAGGCACAAGTTACTGGCCGAGAAGGCTCCAGTTACAGTGTACATCACTTCAGGTTTGTCTCTAGCTGACATCTGGAAGGTACAAGACTGGCCTTGACATTCAACAATGTCTTCACGAACAGTCCTGAGCAACATAGTCTCTGGGTTGCCATGAAGCTTGAGTCTAGCAGCTGCTGACTGGAGTAGCATGGTTCTTTCAGAACCGTCATCCAGTATGGCATATGTGTCGATGGATCCCCCTGGACCATGGAGGGTAACTGGGAGAATCTTGAGCATGACGTTGTGGGGGCGAGTTGGTTTGTCCACGAAGACTGCTTGGTTGGACGTCTGGAGCCTATACACATGACTGGTTGCCTTCTTGGCGGCATCATGTAGTACAGTGAGGTGGATTTCCTTGCAGGTATGACAAGGTTTTTTCAATGTGCAGTCCTCTGGCTTATGGGTTCGCCCACATTTCCAACAACGTCCCTTGTCTTTGATCCATTGGATGATCTGGTCGGTGCTCAACTTCTTGATCTCTGGGCAGCCACCGAGGAAGTGCTCCTTGTTGTCGCAGTAGGGACAGTATGGTTTAGGCTTGAACTTGGGTTTGTCCTTTGTGTTCGGTGAGGCCATGAACACAGTTGTGGAAACCTCCTTCTTCGGGGCTCGGTGCTGGCTTTGTTGGTGGGTTGGTTTAGAGCCTGCCGAGTTGTGACTTGATACAGCTCTACTAGCGAAGCTCTGGGACTGTGACTTTGTGCGAAGCCACTCTGCAAACTGGGGCAAGGTGTATGTCTTGCTGCAGTTCGGTTCCAGTATGCCCTTCTTCAGGCAATGCTCAATGAAACTGTTTCGGTGAGAGGGGGCCAGTTTTCCCAGCAGACGATCGACATGTGATCCACATCGAAGTTCAACTCCCTCCGCGCCCTCCAAGGCTTGGAGCATTCCAACGAGTGACAGAACATCAAGAGAAAAGTCATCAAATGCATCTGTATCTCCATACTTGATTGAAGGAGTGGACATGATGGCTCCAATTTCACTCTGCACAAGTTGTCTGGGTTGTCCATTCTTGCCAGTGAGGGCTTGGAGGGCCTGGGTGTACGGTTGACTGGCGTACAGGAATGACTTGGCAAGCTTTAATGCTCGGCCACCAAGTCTGTCGATCAGTATTTGGAACTGATACTGTTCGGAAAGATGGGGATGCACATCAATGAGGTTCACCAAAGCCAGCTTGAGGAGGGCGAATTCTTTCTCCTTCCCATCAGAAAACTTTGGCAGGGTAGGTTTGGGGATCCCATGTGATGATGCAACAAGGAGATCCATAACGGTTGGTGCTGATGACACCGTTAAGGAGGGTACAGAAGCCATTGGGTATGGCAAGTGCGGAGGACAAGTCCCTGGAGTGGGAATGCCTTGTCTTGGAGTGACATCACTGGTTACCACTGATGCGGAGAAGGTCGCACTCACTGGGGCACCATGACAAGCAGAGGTCGAAACACAGGGTAGTGTTTGCTGAATGTTCGGTGGTGAGGTCGAGGATGGAGCACCAGATGGAGTCGGATGACAGACAGAGGAGGAAACACATGGGGGTGCTTGCTGAATGTCTGGGTGAGATGTCACAAGTGGAGCACTTGGATTACCATGACAAAAAGAGGATGAAACACTTGTGGATGTTTGCTCCATGTCTGGTTGTGGAGTTGAGGATGCACTCTGTGGGGGTGACTGATCGTCTGTACCCATTAAAGGATGTGATGGTGATGGTGATGATGATGATTCATTATTCAACATGGCACTGATGGCTTCAGCCTCCAAGAGTTCTTGACGAGCAATCCGCACTCTGCATTGACGGGATAATTTGGAGATGAGGGCCTCACGCTCTCGCAATGCCTGTCGCTCCACTTCTTCAGCTTTAAGTCGAGCAGAGCGGGCCTGCTCATCAAGTTTACGAAGTTGCTCATCAGCGGTCTGATCTTCCTGGAGTTGGCACTCCAGCTCGTTAAGACGAATTCTTCTTCTGAGTGTTCGCATCTTAGCTGCATCCTTATCACTAAGACCGGATAGGTGTGAGTTACGGGAACTTGATGAGCTATTAGTGCGTTGGCTGCCAGAGTGCTTTGAGGCAACAGACTCATCACGGTTCTCCTCGGCCAGAACATCATCGGCATGGTGTTCAGACATTGTAGTAAAATCCGCAGGTCGCTGGTGTAGAGGATCCAGTTCGAAGGACCATGAAAGAAAGGGCAGGACAGGAGACTGGTGACGAGTCTATGATTGGTTGATTTGCTCTCCTTTAATTACTGATTGTTCTCAAATTACAATGATGAAGATAGTAGCCGAGCTGATTAGGTTAATTCACTGATGAAGACTTTAAGCTGTGGAATGGGAGCCGTGAACTGCAATGGAGGTTGTGTAAGCCGTGTGGTAGGCCGTGGTTCTACAAGAAAACCAAATTAATACAATAATAAATATTGGAACCTACATTAATGAACTGAAAATGAACTACTGAAAATGAACTAAGATTCATGTAATAATTTCCCCAAGTATCAACTAAACTATCTAACAAACTGAGGGATTAGATAAGCTATTATAAGCCCCAAATTACACTAAATTAACCAGCAATAATGATTAAATATGAGGGCATAATCCTTAGTAAAAAGATCAATAAAATGTACGTACATGTACCCATAAAACAACATGTATGAAACCCACGTTATTTATCCATTACAAAACCCCCCACAAAATATCCCTTAAAATCATCTATAAATCTACTCACTTTTAGCTTCTACGCAGGGCCGCTGATGGACGGCATACAGATGATTAGGAAAATGTGGGTTAACCTGGGATTTTACGTTTGATTGAAGGAATAATTGCGAGGTTTATCGGAATGATTTCAGGACAAATGTGACTAAAATTGGAATCACGTTGGAATTTTTCTAGATTCATAATCACGAGAGGGCGCTATACCAATTTAACGCTTAGACACTTTCGTACAGTGGTGTAAAAACTGCGGGTAAACGCGCATTCAACCATAAAAACGTCCAGCCCCTAGACAAGCTCGAGTATGTTGCGGGTGTATGCACTGAATAAACAATTAAATAACTGACCGAAGCCACCTGTGCCCCGCGGTGTCAATTAAAGCCTGCATTGATCCTAGGTATTTACTCGGAAATATTTCCGGAAATGGTTTGTCTTTTCGCTTTCGATGTTGGCCTCTTCCTCGAAACCTGACTAACTACAGATGGGGATGTGTAACCTAATATGATGTGGTTGAATAAAAGGATGGGGTTAGACTAGAATTGGAACATTTTCTGGAAAGAAAGGTAATCTATACGGTGTAGATTACATTTCTTTCCAGAAAATGTTGCATGGATGGCTATACATAGAAAAAGAAAACCGGTAAAGATGTAAACCAAAACATACATTTTTGAAATTAAAGATATATTCGTCTCCCGATGGCAAAATATCGGTGTCTATGATTGCTTACTATATACAGGTGACCCAAACAAATGCAACCCTGAAACATTTGTCCTTTTTTTTAAAAACCGATCTATGAATTTTTAAGTTTTGGATATGAGATAAAAGCTGAGTTTTTTCTCTTGTTTACTGAAAAAGTCATAAAAACAGTACATTGCGTTGCTGAGAAAATGCAAATTATGTAGTGTGGTTCCCTGACTCCACTAAAGATAAAATGGATCAATTATAGATCTCGGAAAATTGTAAGATAAGGGAACCAGTCTAGCTGGCCTGAACCCGTTCATGAACATGTAACCAATAGCAAACAACATTTGGACTGAAAAAAATATGTAAATTTGGAGCAGTAGTTGAAAAATAGTTAGCTTTTCCAACGGTGGTTGGCCGACCACCGTTGGAAATGTATACAAAAATACCATTTTCTTGAAAATGACTCGACACCAGGTGCCATAGTTTTACAGGATGCTTTAGACTGTCATTTACCAACATCGTAGTAAGGTATTTCGTAAAAACTTGGTAGTTTTATTTTTCGATGTTTGCAAATGTTGTATATTCCCTTTCAGAAACATTTATTTTAATATGTCTTTCATTAATTGTGCAATTTCTTTACTCTTTGGACATATTTATGATGCTGAAGAGGTTTAAAATAGGACTAAAAGGATAAGATACCTGTTCGGGTGGAAAACAAAGGTATTTCCATCAAATTCATTCGTACTCTTGTCATGTGCCGTACGTGTTGTTTGATGGCTCTCTGATTTATTTCACATATCTTTTATAATTCATGTTACATGCGCTAATGAGCCCTGTTTCACTAGAAAAGATGTGTTCAAATCATGAGACTAATTAATTTCTTGACGGTATACTCTCCGTCAATTACAATACTGCAAAACAGTGTTCTGTGATCACGTTAAGAAGGCTTTTATCATAATACTTTACATCCTTCAAGTTACTTTACATCCTTGTGTTTTTAATCATAGTTACGAAAGATTTCCGTAGAGATCCGCGTATTTAATTAGTATAAGAGTATGATCTAAAGATGCAATTGAAAGGAACATCAGTTATATGCGGTGGTACCGTTACGAAATAATATCCACGTCTTATAAAGCATGACAACAATAGTAAGGGCATACATTGATATTTATGACTTCGGGGATATCGGGGATTTCATGACTGGTCGTCAGCCAATTGCGAATATTCTTCATTTTGCGGTCAGGCGCGGATATCCAGGGAGGAGGGGGTATGTAGGGTTCGACTTAGCAGTAGCCCGAAAACCAAATGCTCGTCAAAACAGCGGGGATCATCGTACTATTTGGTAAGGAGCCCTGTTGGCGAGTCAAAAATTATTGGGATATGGCAAAGATGAAAGTACAGGAAGAAAGAAATCATTACATTTAGAAGGCAAACCGGTATAAATGTGTGTATAGTAAACAGTTGAAATGATTAGATCGGGTTATTTGAAACAATGACAAATTAATTGCTTCAGGATGCATGTTTTTACATGTATGCCCAACCTTGGGTTATGGTTAGCCTGAACATGAATTACAAAAGATGAGCCTACAGTGAGCCTTGAGTCATGATAAAAATCACTACAAGGTAGACGCCCGGGTTAAGTGACATTAAACAGCCGTCAGATTGAAACTCCATCATAACTGGTTATCTAACTATAGGGCTTGGCAAGGACTTCGTACTTTTTAGAATGCATGATTCACATTGCGAAGAAAGACGGTTCAACAATGATATTAACAAGATGCAAGGTCAAACGTTGCCAATGCGAAGGTACATGGTTCATATTGCGAAGAAGCAAGGTGCAACGTTGACATCAAGCATGATCAATGGTGTAGATTGACAAGATCGAACGTGAATATTAACAAGTTGGAACATTCACATTAAGAAGGAACAACTTCCAAAATGCGATATTAAGCCGCGTGCAACGTGCATATTGCGATGGTACAACGTCAATATTAAGAGGTTACAAGGTTCACATTAAAAAGGTCAATATTAAAATGTTGTTCCAGGGCCACCGTACTTTAGTGTCGTCACGTTACAAGTCGAGCCTTGAGTCATGATAAATATCACTACATGGTAGACGCCCGGGTTAAGTGACATTAAACAGCCGTCAGATTGAAACTCCATCATAACTGTTTATCTAACTATAGGGCTTGGCAAGGACTTCGTACTTTTTAGAATGCATGATTCACATTGCTAAGAAAGACGGTTCAACAATGATATTAACAAGATTCAAGGTCAAACGTTCACAATGCGAAGGTACATGGTTCATATTGCGAAGAAGCAAGGTGCAACGTTGACATCAAGCATGATCAATGGTGTACATTGACAAGATCGCAAACGTGATCATTAACAAGTTGGAACATTCACATTAAGAAGGAACAACTTCCACAATGCGATATTAAGCTACGTGCAACGTGCATATTGCGAAGGTACAACGTCAATATTAAGAAGTTACAAGGTTCATATTAAAAAGGTCAATATTAAAATGTCGTTCCAGGGCCACCGTAGTCGCAAAGACATATGACATACACTGAAATCCTACTCACCCGGACACCAAGGGGTGGGCAAGAGTTCCTCCTGGTCACCAAGACCAGGCTGGAGTCTCAAGGCTGTATCGCATAGAGCTGCATGAAAACACGTGGGCCCGTACGTGCGAGTGCAGCAATGATTGGTTCCCGCTGCGCCGCGCACTAAGTCCCAATGAAGGCATGATGAAAATGCGGTAATCAGTCAATGTAATAGTCGCGCGCGGTGCATGCAATGCACTGCCGTACAGTGTTTTGCGTGCAGGCCGGACGGAATAGACATCGTAAAAATGCCAAGAAAACAACGATTGAGAAGGACGATCTTTGCAAGCTTATTCACAGAACTTGATCTCTCTTGTCTGTGTATGTATTTCCCGTGTTCATGAATTTATTTCGAAGAAGTTTTACTGGTATGTGAAGTGAAACGATGCAGCGTGTTTCACCGAAATCCTATACCGTAAAACGAGTCTCATTGCCGGCCCACCGCACACAGTGCATCACAAACGCTCGTACTAGTGCGAAGTTCAGACGTTGTTAGCCAGTTTCTCGTCGTGACTAGCATTGTGTATATGGCATACTTGACCTGCATTTTCTATTATTTTTAAGATTATCGACGGCAGATATTTTCGATAAAACTTTAGGCAAGTTTGTGTCATTTTGAGGCCCTTTTTGTATAGCTTTCGTAGAGCAATTGAAATAGTTGAGGCTGAAAATTTCATATAATTTTAACGAATCTCAAAGCAAATATTCAGTTGCTTTATGTGCCGTTTATTAACTCTCCATTTTCCAAGTATAATCAAGTGATGAACCAACTGAAAAAATGAAAGCCTAAGCAGTAGTCATACCTTTTATTAATCTCCATTTAGTTAGGTTTTTAAAATAAATTTTACTTTGTCTTACAGTTACAAAAACGAAAAAAAGTAACGCAACTTGAGCATATGTTATTATGCAAAAACTAATAATAATGCAGCCCCTTGAATAAATCCTTATATTCAAAATAAAACAAAACAATGGTATACCCGTCGTTTTTCCGCTGTTTATCCGTAGATTTTAAGGAGAGCGATTTGCTCTCCTCAAATATTTGAGGAGAGCGATTTATAGCTCTCCTGGATTTTCTTTAAAGGAAGGACTGCGATAATCATTACTTAACTAAAGTCACCGAATCAATATTAG